TTTACTATAACCCATCAAAGTCGCCTGCAAATATTTGATGTTGTTAAATTTTAATCATCTCCCCCTGGCCGGAGTCCTATTTACCCTGGGGGACGCTTCAAATTGAAAGCGCTCCCTAAATAGTTGCATTAAACAAATATTTCGGATGGAGCCAGCTCTGTGCCCTTTGAGCTGGCGGAAGGAGTCGGAAGTAGGCAAAAGCAATTTCCTAGTCACAGATTTGATTTTGTTTGCCCAAGCGGTGCGGCATAAAATCGTTTGCCAAATGCCAAAGCGCCCAGATGTATCTCCGAAATACATTCGGCTAATGAAATGCACGCTCTGTCGAAGTACTCCTCAGCCTGAAGGGGGAAAGAGAGACTGAGGACGGGGTGCCTGGGCAAATAATCAACTCTGGAGCGGGGAAAACAACACAATATGGGGCAGTCGGCAGTGGAAAACGCCAAAGATCGTAAAAAAACTCACCACAAGATAAAAATCAAAGAGAAATATCAGCCAGCAAATATTCAATACAATCTAACAAAGAACTGGAGTCGCTTCAATGATGCCTAGTAAGTGGAAATAGTTCAAGTAAAATATATATAGTTTTAACTTTTTTAGCATAAAAAATTATTTAATTAAACGATCAAGTGGCAGTCCTTCAATTTCTGTCTCCTTACCTTTCAGAAATCTTTTTCTTGAGAGTCTAACTTCTTCTCTCGTTCTCTTATTGCAGCTTTTTAAATTTTTAGAAAAATCTATTTTATATTTTCTAGTTTATATAAATAAACCCTTAAATATTTTAAGCCTTTACAACATTAAGCAATAGGCGACAGCAAAACATTTAGTAGCCCGCTGGTAGTTAGCTTTCTCACTCTGCCTTTAATTATGTATCTATTTTAGAATCCAATTAAAGTAATTATTTTATTTATTAATTTACAATAATTGTATATATTACCTATTTAAAGTAATACAAGGTATACCCATTTTCCCCACCAAATACCCCTTATTAAAACAAAACTCTCTCTCTCTCTCTTTGGCTGACCGCAAAGCAAACTTTTTGCTTTAGATTTATGCGGCAATATTTTTGCTTTGAAATCGCTCCCCTAACCAACAGCCCACAAAACCACCCAACCGCCCATCGAGATAGCGCCCATCATCGGCAGAGGAGGAGGAGGAAACCAGGACAAACACAAATACAACCTGTAGCATTCATCCGCCTGCCTGAGTTTCGGTTAAAAGCGGGAGCTCTATTTACATTTTGCGCTCGAACGCATTTTTATCTTTATCTTTTATGGCAAGCCGAATGGAATAAAGGGGATGAGCATCTAAATTTTAAATTGAAAATTGATTTTTCCCAATACTCGAGTGTGTTCGTTCGTTTGATTTGGCCAACTTGCTGCTTGGTCAATTTTTTTTTTCTGCGATTGATTTGCCTTTGGCCCGCGGTCAGTTGGAAAAGGACTCGCTGGTAGCTGGAAGCTGAGCATTTTCCAACAAGCCAGGATGAAGGGGCCATTTGCCAACAATAAGTACGCCTGAGTGACTTTCAATTTTGTATTTGGATGCCATATACATATTTCTGAGAGATTCATGGCAATTGTAAATAAATATGAGTAATACAAGGAAATGAGATCCCAAAATCGGTAGATGTATTCCTTAAGGATTGCCCTCTTCTTATATGAGTAATTTACTCGGGATTGTTTAGATATTTGTAAGGGAAATGTTTAGATTTTGTCTTTTTGATTAATATGGAATATAGTTAATAAGGATACTTTTTCTGGGAAACTAAGAATCTTTTACAACGATAAATAAGCAGATCAATGCTGGTTGGATGTTAATTAATTTATATTTTATAAATATCCTTTCTTTAAGTTGTAATATTAAATATCCTCTTAAATAATTCTAGGATTCCAAACCCTTCCCTGAACTGGGTACTTAACACCCCTCTTAACCAATTTAAACACTCCTTAAACTGGGCATTCCTTTACACCCCACTAATGGCAAAGTTTCTTGTATTTTTTTCTGGGTGAGTTTATTGATTTTCTGTTCAGGCCTTATCTAAATTTGCTGTAACAGTTAGCAAGTGAATTTGAAATATTATTAAGACAAATATATATACAGGGGCGTTGTAAGGAGTGAGACCTGCTGGTCATAAGCCTATCAAAACGTTTTTATTAGATCCCTGCACGCGTCTGGGGCGACAAGCCTCTACAGTTTGGAGTCCTGAAGGAAACCGAGGGGTTCGACGACGACAGTTTCGCGTGTGTTTGCACTTTTCCGGTCGTTTTTCCAGCTCTGAACGCGACTCTTTTTGGGGGATGTTGTTGGCTTGGTATTGTGTTAAAGAAATTGATAGCGGACGACAAATCATACCTTGAGACGCAGGCGGAGTCGCTAAACTGGGCCTGCACTGGCGGGGGTGGCTTGTGGCTCCACCACGGCTTATGGGGCCCGTAATGTGGTGGCTTATGTACTGTTGTTGCAGCACAATTTGCCGCCACTGCTGCTGCTGGCCTGCTAATAAAATTTGATAAGCCAAAGTGGAGCCAGAGACAGACCGGGAGACGGAGGCATATAAAATGTTTACCCGCTGCACGCAAATTGGGGATAAATTTTATGTAATGCAGGGGGAGTGACACAGCACCCAGACATCCCTAAGTTCACCCCCAGGATAGTCCCCAACTTCTCCTCCCGGCAATTGCAAAGTTAATTTGCGCATAAAAATGTTGCCAGGGGAGTCATCTGTCCGGGCTTTGGTCCAACGCCGCCGCCAGGATTAGCCATAAAACTGCGTGTTTCTCCCAATTTTTTTTTTTGCCCTTTGCTCTTTGATTTATGCCAATGTGTTTTGATTTGCGCCATTTCATTCTATTCTATTTGATGATCCCCTCCTGGACGAGGCCATTTCGGTTTGATGCATGCGAAATGCATTTTTGATGACAGTTAATGGAGTTTTTACTGTCTCCGAGCGTGGACTTGGGTACGGGTACGGGTATGGGGGACTTGTTAAATTTCCATTCCCTGAGCTGAGTCGGCACATTTTTACATTTTTGGCTTTTTGTTTTTGGGATCCGGGACAGTGCCAATGATTGGGGGTTGCTTTTATTAGAGAGTGAAGTCGGGGCTGAGGCGAAGGAGGCCAGACAGACGAAATTTCGAAACGTTTTTATATATGGTCTGGATGGCCGGTCCATAACGCTGTTTCCTCCGTTTATGTGTATATAAAATATACAAATTTGTGTGCTTACTGATTTTTCATGGGCTTACGAGTCGGAAAGTCAAAAATGTTGTGCTAGCATGCTCTTAAGAGGAGAAAGACTAGACCAAGAATAAAAATTTAATGAGACTGGGAATAAGCCATAGAAAAGTGTGTTCAAGAAATTCAAATAGAGCTGACTTTAAGGGAAAAAGAAAAACTTAAGTAATATTTATTTAATAAATTAAGAAAAAAAAAAAAGAATATTTCTTAAAGACTTTCATGTTTGTGTCTATAATTAAAAGACAAAACGCTAAGATAGTGGTAGACCCGAAACTTCTAAAAATCTATAGAAAATAAAGTTTCTTATATGAAAGAACACAATGCTTTTATAGCATATATTCTCAGAAAATATATCACAAATTTATTTCTGTTTAAGTACAGTATATATATTTTAACTTGTAACACTTATACACTGCACAGGGTATCCTTAACCACCTAATACCATATGCACATTGCTGTGATTTCCTCCCATTAGGCCCTGACATTGCCTACTTTTAGGCTTACTGACCGAACCGAGGCGAGTTGCAAATGTAAAGTCATGCCAAATATTTGCGCACACAAGCAGACACAAAGTCAGGGCTAAAAGCGCAAAAACGGCAAAAGGATATCGTGTGGAGCGCACACTCACACCTACACACACACACACATCTGCATGGCAAACAGAAAACGAAAGCGTGCCGAAGAAGAAGGAAGCGGAAACGAAGCAGCCAGGACACTTAAATGCTGCTCAAAATTGGATTTGGGGCAGCTTAGAGGAAACTCTCTGCTGATAAACATTTTTATAGTTAGGCCCGAGTTTTGCCACAAGTCATGGCTCATCCTTTTCGCTCTTTCACGACTCGATTCCTTCGCCGCCTTATTCCCCAGCTGCACATTAAAGCGTAGAAAAAGCGCAGAGTGGGAGTGGCTGGGACTGAGGCTGAGTATGAGACTGTGTCTCTGCAAGGCTGTGCCTATGTTTATGCTTATTTAAAAAAGTAGCATCGCTTCGAAGTTTTGATTTGATAAAGCAAAAGAAAGGCAAAGGAATGGCAAGCGATAAGGACAGCCAAGGAGAGAAGGGTAGATATAAAAGCAGAAGAAATTTGGATACCCTTCTACCTATAATATTTTAAGAAACAAAATATAATGTCTACCATTAGCACTTTATTATTTTTAAAAGACTTAATGGCAGTGTACATTTCTTTATTTTTCTGAAAAACTTAATAAAATGGTATAAATATAAAATTTAAATAATATGGACATTAAATCCTTAAAAACTTGTTATATAACATATGTATGATAGTTAAATAAAAAGCCCTAAGACCTAATAAGCTCGAAGCTAGTTCCTATTTCCAGCCAAAGTGTATTAAGAATTCGTGGCTTGTAAAATAAAAGGACGCACTGTGGGTTGAGTAGGTGTGCCGGCTGATAAAAAAAAATCGTTTATGCAAGTCACATACGCACGAAGCTTTTAATAATAAAAACAACGAGCTTCCTGTAATACGAAAACAAAGTAAGCAACCAAGGCGTGCGTGTGAATGTCTTTATGCCAGCGAAAATGTGCCGGGAAGGAGGGTCTACATCGCCTTCAAGGAGTTACAGGGCTATCCCCGAACGCTTTTTTAACCAATATAAGTAAAACGTTGGTTTTGAATAACCCAAAATCAATGTTTCCCCCTCTCATGTACGTAGTGGAGCTAAACTATTCTTCGGAATTTTAATTTTAACTCATGCTGAAGCCTCATGCTGAAGCCTAAAAAAGTTTTAGATTTTAGAATACTCTTACTAAAATCGCTTTTATTGGCAGCTTAAATATAAAAACATGCCTATATGAAAACAAAAATGAAATGAAAATTTTGATAACCTAAAAAAAATAAATTTTGACTTAATCTAACTTAGGGTAAAAACATTACTTGCTTCAGGGAAACACTAGACTAAACAGACCCTTCAGCTGCTGCGAGGCACTGCAAGTGGGGCCACAGATGACCACATCCGCATAGATCTGATGCTCGCGACTATACGTGAGGTTCTTAATGTTTGTAAACTTCGGTTGAACGACGCGCTGGAGGAGATCCTCTTTGCTTAGCGCGTAACAGAGCTGACCGCACAGGCACTTGGGCGCCTCACAGATGAGTTCAATGAGCACAGCGGGCAAGGAGCCCGCCGGCAGAGGCAACTTATAGTTGGCCACAGCCCGGGCCGCCTGCAGCCACAGGGGTTGCGGCGAGCTGGCACCCGACGTTCGCTTAGCCAACTGCTGGGCCTCCTCGCTATTGAAGGCTTTGAAGCAATTGCCCCACACGTCCAGCAGATCGATGTGCAGGTCCTCGATGGCCGAGGGCAGCGACTCCAGCTTGTTGCTGCACACGTGAAGCTTTCGCAGTGCCTGCAGTCGGCGTATGGAGAACGGCAGTCGTATCAGTTGATTGTCGTTTAGATTAAGCGAGACCAAGCGCTCGCATTTGACCAGCGGGGGTGGAAAGTGGGTCAGTCCATTGCTCGATAGGTCCAGCTCACCGAGGGACTGGCTCAGCTTAGTGCCGCGCAGCCAGCACCAGTCGTTCAGTTCGCCCAGGCAGTTGCTGCCCAGATGCAGCGAGCTCAGCGCCAGGCGGCCCAGCTCCGAGGGAATCTGTAAGGCCAGAATTGGGAGGATTAGGTTCAGTTTTGCAGCCTTAAACCCAAACTCACCTTGGTCAGCTTGTTGCCACTGACGTCCAGCTTGGTCAGGTTGCGCAGCGAGCAGATCTCGAAGCTGAGCTTCACCAGCTGGCTGTTATTGATGGTCAGCGACTTGAGGGTGCGCGGGAATCCCTTGATGGGGTACTCGCTCCGCTTGCTGATTACCATTTTTACTTGGGGTTGCGCCTTCTGTGGTATGGCCGTGGCGGCAGCGATGTTCAGTCTCAGGTTAATAGCGTCCTTGCCCTCCATGCCCAGCTTGAGGGTCTGCAGGAATCCCTTCAGCTGGATGGGATCGCACTTGATCAGCAGGTTCTCCGCCGGCTGCTTGAACCCAATTGTGGCCTTGCCGTCCAGCACGAACTTGGTGTGCACGGCGTGGATGTTGTCCCGCACCTTATAGCGGCTGCCCGTCTTGCTTTGCCCACTAAAGAGCACCATTTCCAGTTCCTTCTTGGTGTTGCCGTTGTCATCCCGGGCGCTCTGCTTGTAGCCGATGGCCAGTGTGGATTTCACGGGCCGCGGTGTTCTGTTGGCCTGTGTAGTCCGATTTACCACCTGTACCTCGCAGAGGATTTTCATGGCGGCAAAAATACAGGAATAAATACGCGCTAAACAAAACAAAACAACATTTGTGGTTGCGAGGTTGCCACCTTGGTGGCTCAACAGCTGAGCAGCTGCCACTTCGGAGTAGTCACACATATCGATAGACACATTCGATAGTTAAAGCTTATTTTAAAAACTAATTTAAATATTTAAGTGGAATCGTAAAGCATAAAAACACGATGCCAATTTAACTAGAAAATATGTTTTAAATTAATTTTATTATTCCGCCTTGTTATTTTGAAATCGCAAGATCTAGGGCGTAAATAGCTAAACTGCCAACTCTGTAAACAAAGCAGAGGAAGTTACAAAACCAAAACAAGCAAATTGCAGTTGGAAAATTGAAAAAGCAACCCATATAAAACCGGAAAATGCTATTTCGCAAGGCTCGCCGTCACTTTCTGCCCTTCTACATGTTCAATGGGTTCTTGTGACAGCGCAACGAGCGTTATCAGCGTTTGCGTTACAACAGCTCCAGCATTGGCAGTCCGAGGCTTGCGGTAAGTAATTCCTGCAATAATGGATCAATATTTCATTAAATATATTAAATATTCACTCGCTTAACGAAAGGCATTAAGAGAGACTTGGTTATTTACAGCACAACAGCTTATTGGACAACCATGTGAACAGCAACGTGATCATCAACATCGACAACTGCGCGCTATATAGCACCAATGTAAGATTAATCCATCGAAACCCTGAAATTGTCATCCAACGAAATAACGGTCTGTTTCTTCCAATTCCTCCCGCCCATCTGGCAACGCCAGCGTTCAGCTGATCGCCAAACGATAACTTTCCGATCGCAGCAACAGCGGCGCCAGCGCTTTTTATTCGTTTTTCGGTTTTTCTGCGCTACGGTCGCCTTCGGTTTCGCCATCGCCTGCGTCATCTACACGCTCCACACAATGGGCTGGATATTTGCGGTGCTCGTCGCGCTTGTCGCTCTGCTGCTGACGAAACCGGGCTGGCGCTGGTTCTACATAGCGGGAGCCACCGCCAACCGAGATCTAACGTGAGTTTGGGTTCCCACTTAGCGAGGCTTTGCTGTTCCCCCACTGGGCGATGGTGATAAGTTTACAATACCGCCCCCGAACGGTGTGCATTTCAATACAATTTAGCCTGGTCTTGTCTCCTTTGTGATTCCATTGAGGAGGAGAACGAACAGCCGAGTGCGAGTACTTTGTCCGATGTACCCGGGGCCAGCTGCTGCCCACTGCCTGCCCTCGCCCCCTCCTCCATTCGAAACCGCAGAGAAACTCGTTTTCCGTTTATGTGGGTCGTCTGCAGCAGCCACTTTTAATTGTTGTTGCTGCTGGAGGAAAACTGTAAAGAGAAAACTTCACAGGGAAATGGTTAGTGATATGAATTTCCTCTCTACACCAAAAATTGCTTAGGAAAAACTTTAGAAAAGTGAGATAATGGCTTCCCATAGAGTTAAATACAGGTTTGGCTTAATGTTTGCCTTACTATTAGCAATACTTTCGATCAAGTTTATTGACTTCTTCAGGTTCAAGGTCGCCCCTTGTATACCCTAAACCCAAAATCGAAACCAAAACAAACTGCCAAAACAGGCGACAAGACTCACTTTTATTTTCCATTGACTTTGTACGATCGTCGTCGCCCAGCAAGGCCCTCGGCGCATACTAATGGACTGCGTCAGCCGGAAGACTTACTGGCACACTAACCGATCGGATAGCCCCTTCTCTCGCCTCTCTGCTCCACCGATCCCCGCCTGTTCTTGAAAACGTACGCCGAAAGCCAAAGTGTAGACAATCAATTAAAATGGCGGAAGTATCGCCTATGTCTGTCTTTTTGTATTTTTGTCTAGGGTTGTCAAAGTTTCTTTAGGGGCCAAAAAGATCAAAGATCATTGGGTATTTCCTTTTTACACCTGACAAAAAGAGAAAAATCGGTGTGAAATGTGTGAAATGTTTATAAATGTGATCGTTTTAATATCTAGAATAAATAGTTGAACCAAAAAGATCTAAGATCATTGGGTATTTCCTGCTTAAACCTGACAAATAAATAAAAATCTTTCCGAAAAGTTTAAAATTTTTAAATAACCAAAAAACCTTGTATAAATTCTACAACTAAAACCTTAAGAAATTCTAGCTTCTTCCAACTGCTTCTTCAGCAAAATATACAATTTACTCAGCATTATGCGATTTAATGAGTCTCTCCGACACAGCAGATCGAGTTCCATGCCAAGGTCACACTTCGTATATACACATGATTCGTATAAGTATAAACAGCTTCTCATATCTGCACTCGCATACCTGATTCTTAAGATCAACTTCAAGTCTAGTCGGTGGTGGTCAGCCTTGGACACGTTTTGGAGTTTTGCTGGCCGCCACAGACTTATCTCCGAGCAAACACTGCCAAAAATACCAATCAAACCACTCGAGGGGGTCATAAGGCCTGATTAAAGCCTTATAAATACACGACTAAACGAGCTAAGCTGGCAATCTTATCGATACTTCACTGCCACTGCCCCCTGCCCCTGCCCCTGGCCCATTGGGCGGAGCAAAGTACGAGTGCAAAGCGAATTCAAATTGAGATCGTCGAAGTCGAAATAGTTCGAGTCCCAAGTCGAGTGCAAGTTTTTTCCCTGTTCTAATACTAGTACGTTGAACTATCGTAGCAGATGTTAATTGGAAGAAAAAAATAGTCGATTGGGATTAGGCTTTACCTCCTACATATACAGAGCGTATCAAATCGAGGTAGATCTAGGAGTTTCAAGTATTTTTAGCTGGTTTTTTAGACCGGAACTTGGCAATAACTATGGAAACTTGGGATGAGATTATAGATTTAAATGACTTTCATTTAAGAGAATTTGAATAACTTTCAATCTTTATTTTATCTATGCTTATTCATGAGATAACTATTATTTAGAGATTATCTGATTTAAGCGTTTATCAGACCTAATAACTTATTTACAAATCAAAATAAATAACACCTTAACAACTCCAGCTTTCTTAACTCAGACAATAAACCTAATTCGTTAAGTCTTATCAGTCTAAGGTCAATATGCTCAAAAGGTTGCTGATATCAAATCGAAATATAACAAGGAAAACAATTATAATCCCTTATGGGTATAGTCCATCATAAATGGATTGACTTCAGTAAATATCTGGGTTTAAAATTATTTCTTCCACTAAATACTATGCGTAATCCCTTTGGCAAATAATTACTCGCGGAATTTACAATCTTTGACCTTCCCGCGATTACTTAGCTCTCCGGATTTAGCAACGTCATAAATTTGTGTCAGACTGTAGGTAACCACGTTCGTTGGGTTTCGATTGCAGCCATTGCCCGCCACTCTCCAGGTGGACTTATCTCTAGGGTTTATATCGCATCACGGCGGCTGTTGCGCTTGTCGAGCTTCGATTTTCTGTGTTGCGTCTATTTTTAGTGGTCGCGTCCGTCGCAAACCGCCAAACCATAAAACACACGCGATCGATGCAGGAAGATACCGCTAATCTAATATAAACCCTTCCCACACACACACACAGTACACCAATCAATATCTGTTTGTTTAAGCATTTAAATTTCTAGTAGATATAATATAATAATCCTTGTGAAACAATATCTTGCAGATAAATAAATATTTACAAGATATACTATAATATTGCTAGTAGGAGTAATAAGCAAACGGCGATACTTTATCTTCAAGATAAAACAATATTAAAATTATTTACTCTATGTTTATTATCCTCCCACAGAGCTCTCTGGGCCTACATCAAGCTCTTGAGGTACACCAAGCGCCATGAGCGACTCAACTACACTGTGGCGGACGTATTTGAACGAAATGTTCGCGCCCATCCCGAGAAGGTGGCCGTGGTCAGTGAGACGCAGCGCTGGACCTTCCGCCAGGTCAACGAGCACGCCAACAAGGTGGCCAATGTGCTGCAGGCCCAAGGCTATCAAAAGGGTGATGTGGTTGCCTTGCTGCTGGAGAATCGTGCCGAATATGTGGCCACCTGGCTGGGTCTGTCCAAGATTGGCGTGATCACTCCCCTGATTAACACGAATCTGCGCGGACCATCCTTGCTGCACAGCATCACGGTGGCCCACTGCACGGCCCTCATTTACGGCGAGGACTTTTTCGAAGCTGTCTCCGAGGTGGCCAAGGAACTGCCCGCTGAGTTGACACTGTTCCAGTTCAACAACGATAACAACAACAGCCAGACCACGGAGAAGGATATTGCCGGGTCGAAGAACCTGAATGCTCTGCTAGCCACGGCCAGCAAGGAGAAGCCCAACAAGGCGCAGGTTAACCATCACGATAAGCTCGTCTATATCTATACCTCGGGCACCACGGGTCTGCCCAAGGCGGCTGTCATCTCGCACTCCCGGTGGGTATCGGAAACGATTTCATAATGATTACACACTCAATAATATTCTCCTTTAGTTATCTGTTCATTGCTGCTGGCATCCATTACACCATGGGTTTCCAGGAGGATGACATCTTCTACACCCCCCTGCCCTTGTACCACACCGCTGGCGGCATCATGTGCATGGGTCAGTCGGTTCTCTTCGGCTCCACCGTGTCCATTCGCAAGAAGTTCTCCGCCTCCAATTATTTCGCCGACTGCGCCAAGTACAATGCAACTGTAAGTGAGATTTATTGGAGCTTAAAAAAGTAACAAAAGACTAACATAATATTTCCAGATTGGTCAGTATATCGGCGAGATGGCTCGCTATATTCTAGCTACAAAGCCATCGGAATATGACCGCAAGCATCGTGTGCGGCTGGTCTTTGGCAACGGACTGCGTCCTCAGATCTGGCCACAGTTCGTAGAGCGCTTCAACGTGGCCAGGGTGGGCGAGTTCTACGGCGCCACCGAGGGCAATGCCAACATTATGAATCACGACAACACCGTGGGCGCCATTGGCTTTGTGTCTCGCATCCTGCCCAAGATCTATCCCATTTCGATTATTCGTGCCGATCCGGACACCGGAGAGCCCATTAGGAACAAGGACGGTCTCTGCCAGCTGTGCGAACCCAACGAGCCGGGTGTCTTCATTGGCAAGATCGTCAAGGGAAATCCATCGCGCGAATTCCTTGGCTACGTGGATGCCAAGGCCTCGGCCAAGAAAATCGTGAAGGATGTGTTCAAGCACGGCGATATGGCTTTCCTATCCGGCGACCTTCTGGTTGCTGATGAGAAGGGCTATCTGTACTTCAAGGACCGCACAGGGGACACCTTCCGCTGGAAGGGTGAGAATGTGTCCACCAGCGAGGTGGAGGCTCAGGTCAGCAATGTTGCCGGGTACAAAGACACCGTTGTCTACGGCATTACCATTCCGCACACCGAGGGCCGGGCTGGCATGGCCGCCATTTACGATCCAAATCGCGAGCTCGATCTTGATGCCTTCGCCGCCAATCTGGCCAAGGTGCTGCCCGCCTACGCTCGTCCCCAGATCATCCGTCTGCTGACCAAGGTGGACCTCACCGGCACATTCAAGCTACGCAAGGTGGATCTGCAGAAGGAGGGCTACGACCCCAACTCCATCAAGGATACTCTCTACTATCAGACCTCCAAGGGACGGTACGAACTGCTCACGCCCCAGGTGTACGATCAGGTGCAGCGCAACGAGGTTCGTTTCTAGGCGAAGCGCTCGATGCACGGAAGCCTTGCCTTTTTGCCCAATCATATGCTGTTAATTAATTTGTAAGACAAAAACCAAGACGAGTCGAGTTTAGTTTAGGAAGAAAAAGAGGAAAAGAGTACACGGAACCCGTGATCAGCCGGGTCTAGAAAAGTTAACATGGCACCTTTTTTATACCCTAAGCATACGTATATAAATTGTAGTTGTTTGCATTTTAAATGCTTTTGGCTTTAGCTAAGAGAACCTTGTTAATGTGCAATTCCAGCTATTTGTTTTTAGTCAGTTTTAGTGGCATTTACACTTCCATTCTCGCTGCATTTGCCTCTATGTACATACGAGAAGCTACATACTCTGATGACGAATAAAGTTTGTTTCTTCCACCACACACACGGGCATTGTATATTGTATTTTAATTTTCTCGGACAATGACATCGCCATACCTGCATACAAATGGGCCTCAACTGCGATTAGCACGACTCTTTTTCGATCTATAATATGGCAGCGCACTGCATATAGACATTCAAATCATGGCTGGCTAAACTTGAACCCTGCTGACGTTCAAAGGCATGACATTATTGATAATAAATAAGTTAAAAGATGACTACTCCCCCTTCTAAAGTCCCTTAACGACGTATTGACAGTTTAAAGTAATTCCTACTTGGGGTTTATAATTAGCGGGGTTCATAAAAATTATTATTTTTATAATAAAAATTATTAAATCAGATTTATTTTCTTATTCTAAAATAAACAAATTATTAATTCTTATTATTCACTTAAAAAAAAAAAAAAATTAGAATAATTATTAATTTTTAATTTGTATTTTAAAGTTGAGATTTAACTTTAATTTTAAATTTTTTAAATAATAAACAAAAATACGGTTTTTTAAATTGGGAAAAAAGAGTTCCTAAATAACTTTTTCAAAAATTGTCAATAAAATTAAATGGCAATAACTTTGGAATGGGTTTAAGGTAATTCCTACTATAAGTTTATAATTACATATATCTCCCAAGTGAAATATTGTTCGTTTAAAGCTAAATAGACTTGGCGTGATCTCTGAAATTGTCGGCAATTGGGGGTTAATTAAATTTCTGTCAATTAAAGCGTTGCGCCCCCTAAGCAGAAAAGCTAATGGGGTTTCGGGTTTACTGAAAAGGCGTAGCTTGGCTATAAACTCTAGACTATGTACATAAATATAGGCTATAAAATCAATACAAATCTTAGTAAATCAATATTTATGTTTAAATCAAAATAGGAGCCTGAGCAAAAAAGTTATCTAAGGACCTTTAGTTCTACCATAAATCTAGTAAATTTCCTAACCATAAAATAAATTACAAATCTTAGAGTCGTTTTCCCTCTTTCAAACTGCCAACCAAGTGCGGGAACTCCCTGAAAGCTCAGCTTTTCCAACACCCTAAATATGGCCAAGTGGAAACCATATAGTTTCCGGTGACTGCCAGATCGGGAGGAAGCAGAACAGCGCCAGCCAAGAACCGTTATCAGCTTGAGCAATAACAAGCGAGGCTTCGATGCTCTCGCTACGCATACTTCAACCCTCCACTTCCAATACAAAGAAGATCAGTGCAGTTGCATTGCCGGTTCGCGTCCGTCTCCTGTCCACGTGTGTGTTGTTGTGCATCGATTATGCACTCGATCGATTTGTGATACAAAGTGTGCTGTAAACTCTGTACTCTGTTACGGGGGAAAGTCATTTTCAATCCCGCAAACGCAATGACTGGAACAGCGTCCGTGCTCTTTACGATCACCATACCCACCAAGGCGGAGGAGGATCGCCTGAAAGAGGTGTTTGTGCAGGAGACACCCACACGCACCGCCAGCAGAGCGTCCACAATCGAGAGCCTGTCCACCATTAGGATAGGGGATTCTCCTTCTGAGGAAACGCCCAGGAACTCAAAGCATAAGTCCCTAAATCCCCCGCCCACTATACAAATTCAAACAACCGATGGCGATGATCAGTGGCTCGACATGCCCCTGGACACGGATCAGGAACAGGTTCTCCGTCGGATCCTACGCAAATTTCACATCCCCAATGCCGTTTGGTTGCGCAGCTTGGAGGGTAATGCCTTTCACGTCAGCTTCTCCATGGAGTTCGACGAGCGCTATGAAGAGCTTTACGAGGCCCTGCAGGAGTGGGGCATCGGCGATCGGGAGGGCTCCACGGTGTCTGTGGTCAGCTGCCTGGCTAATAGGTGCTATGCTCAGCGAGAGACACTCGAGGAGGAGGCAGAGGATCAGCCCTCGAGCAGCGAGTAAAAATACATATTTTTTATAATTTTTGTATATTTAAAGTGTGTTATTTTTCAGGAAAATCAACGCCCAGAAGCAGGGCATTTGGAATAAATTCATGAACTCTGTGCGCTCTCGCTTGAATGTGGCCCAAATAGTCCGAGATGTGCGACAGGATGCGGCCGTAACCTTTGACTTTTGTATACTCCTCGTGTCGGCAGCGTGAGTATACAATAATATATAGTTTTTAAGAAAAGCAAGTAGAACAAAGTCCGACTAATAATATGAATTAATCATCTTTAAAAAATACTTTAAACAAATCCTTGCCTAAAGTTTCTTTTGTTTAGAAATCTAGAAATGTTTACTAAGAAAACCCCACCCCTTTTAGAGTTCTGGCCAGCTTTGGTCTGGTGGAGAACAGCACCATTTTTCTGGCCTCCAGCATGCTGATATCCCCGCTAATGGGTCCCATTATCGCCGCTATATTTGGAACTGTAATCCAAGACAGATCTCTCCGAAGATTGGGCATGTTGAACGAACTGATTGGCATCCTGACGGCCACCTTTGTGGGCTTTCTTTTCGGTCTGGTCGTCTGCACCACGGATCGCAAGTACGGTATTGGCGAGGGACTTACCGAGGAGATGCTCTCGCGCTGTGACCTGCACTCCCTGATTGTGGGAGTCTTTACGGCCATTCCTTCGGGAGCAGCGGCTGCCATAGGCATCCTGGGTGGTAATATTGGCTCCTTGGTGGGTGTGGCCATATCCGCCTCCCTTCTGCCGCCGGCCGTTAACTCGGGTCTCCTCTGGGCTGTGGCTTGCATCTACAAGTTCTTCGAGAACGACGACTCTCTGTATGTGGATGTGATCAAGTCGCGTCGCTACTCGGACAACCAGGCTAAGGAGCTGGCCGTGCTGGGCAGCATCAGTATGTGCCTGACGCTCTCCAATGTGCTGTGCGTCTACCTGATGGGCATCCTGGTGCTAAAGGTGAAGGAGATCGCCCCGGTGATTGGTCGCAAGAACAGGCAGTTCTGGAAGCACGACATCAAGATGGTGCGTCATGGTAAAGTCGAAACCGAGGCTGAGATCTTGGATGAACTGCTGGCAAACTTGCCCACCGAGGACCAGCAGGCCTTGAACTCGATTAACCGGCAGTTTCTTCGCCACCTGGACGAAACGGGCTACCAGCACACATGGTCACCGCTGAGCAATCGTCACAGCTTTTCAATGCAGCATCCCGGCGCCGGCTTTACCACCATCCATCGCCTGGAGCAGTTGTATGCGTTAAGAAGGGAGCAGGGTCAGCTACCGGAGGAGCAGCGAAGGCAGCGTCACAGTGTGGTGAGCAGGCCCTCGCAACGGAGTCACGATGTCACCATCCAGCTGAGTCCACCACAACCTGTAAGTTTGGCTATTCTTCCGCGATTCCTGGCTGATCTGTCTCCTCTCTTCTAGCGTCCCCGCTTCGCCAGCATGCCCTCGAAGGCGGCCAAGGACGAACCACTCAGGGAAACTATTATCCAGGTGGCCAGCACCAAGCGGTTTACCGTCACGCCTGCCCGCGAAGAGGAGCAGCTGCCTTAAATCCATAAATTAGGTTCCAAACATCTCGATTAAGTGTCTATCTGTGTAATGTGTAAATTTCTGTGCAACAATTTCCAATAACAATAATTACAAGTCCACTCCGCCGGGTCCTTGACGATCCGCCTTGACCTGGGCGCGTCCTCGTTTCAGTTGGAGTCGCTCACGTGCCGCCCGCTCCTGGCGCCGGCGCAGCTTCTCCAGCGTCTCCTCGCTGGGCGGGGCAGCTTCCACAACCTCCTGGGAACGTATGATGGTACGCAGTTTCTCCAGCGCATCGGCCAGGTTCATTTGCTGGGAGCGGGTTAGGTCGCTTTTAATGTAAAAGTAGCCGTCTTTGGTGATTCGATTGGCCAGCACCTTGAGCAGCTTCTGCCGCGTCTGCTCCGGAATCCACTCGGCCTCCGCTACCTTAAAGCGCAGGTCCACCTTGGTGTTCACCGTGTTCACGTGCTGGCCGCCAGGTCCAGAGCTGCGACTGTAGGTGATCTCCAGCTTGTCCATAGGGATAAAGCCATTGAACTTGTTGTTGCTGCCAGGTGGCTGGAGAATGTAACTATTAGAAACTGATTGCAGGACAGGAAAACGACTTCTTACCGGCGGGGGCGGCGTGTAAAGCTGCAGGCGGGCGCTGGGGTAAATCTTGTCCAGGGACAAATCGCTCTTGTAGGAGAGCTGGCGGCCCAGGAGAGTAGAGCTGCCGCCGGAGGAGCTGCTCTGCCGCAGAACGCTGATGTAGGCACGCGTGATTTTATTCATTTTAGCACGAATTTAACAAGAAACAAAATTAAATTGAATGTTACGAGACCACGGAACAGCTGTTGGCAGAGTTGCCACCCAACAAATAACACGAGGGAAATATCGATCTATCGATTTGTTTTAGATTGTATCGATATTCGTTATTTTGAATTATTAAAAACAAGCCCATTTTCACATCCCCAATTCGAGCGCCTCCCAGCACTCAGCACTCTCTTAAAAAACTTTGTCGAACGCGGTGGTTGCTGCTCCGAGTCCGCCGAAATCGAAATCCAGCTGAGCAAAAGCTATCCATCGGCTGCATACCGGACGAGTTGTGGGATCTCGAGGCAAGATCGCAGCACGTCAAAAATAAATGTTTACCTCGGGCGGCGACGCGAAACTTGCGGTATTTAGTGCGGCTAAGAGAGTGGTTCCTGATCGCCGTGTTCTCCCCGTTCTTGTTCTGGTTTAATTCCAATTGGAAGAAGCCTTCAATCCGGCGAAAAATATATTTTTTTATTAATTCGGCGAGACGTTCTTCGTTTGATTCCAAATCCGAAACCGATTCCGTCGTCGTGTCTGTTGTCACAGCGAAAATTATTCGTCGCAGCAGAGACCGAAAATCGGTCCATAAAACATAAAAACCGCTGGCCAGCGACAGCAGCAACAATATATACATATACATATAGTAAATATATATTTAAAATTCGGAACGAGACGCGAAAGGCAAGGCAAACCGAACAAGCAAAACAAAAGCCAAGTGAACGTGCTGCTTCTTCACCTCGTTTCTTCGACACATTCTGGATCGGATCATCATCGGGCCAACGGCCACTGAGTCTGAGTGTTACCTGAGTCTCGTCTCGATCACCTTCGCCCCTTGCAGCCGGCAATTAGCAACCCTCTTTCGAATTCCCTCATTCTCTGTATTCCTGCGATCGTGAGCAAAACAAACAGGAGGAGAATAGGACATCATCATGGCCATGCAACGGGAAGCCGGAGTCCAGGACTTTGTCCTGCTGGACCATGTTTCCATGGAGAAATTTATGGATAACCTGAGAAAAAGGTAAGGAAATGTAATCATACTCATCATAAATTAGAATAAATACCAAATATTTTATCTAAAAGAATTTAAATTTAAAATATGAATAGACTATGTTTATCATATAGCAGAGTTTCTTAAATATTTATAATTTTAAAAATCATAAAAATTTTTAAATTAGAAAGAAAAAGTTTTTCTAAATCTTTAGATATTAGATACATTCGAAAATGAATCAAATGTTATTAAGTAAAACTGTTTTTATATATTTGTTCCCTTGAATTTGCCATATTGTCTTTAAATTATATTACATTAATTTCTTTTAAAGCATTATTTCTATATAAATAAAATACTCTTAACACCCGTACCTAAGTTCACGATATAGATAAAATATAAACTTACAAAGTTGCAAAAAGTTTTCCCATTTGGCTAATGATTTTAGTGTTTATTGATTCCACCGATGGATGGCCTTGTCCTCTGTTTACTTCTTCACCACTTATACTATACACTATACATATACTTCCCGACCGAGCAAACCAATCCAGCCCAGCCCCTGCTGCCAAAACCACTTTTCCTTGAGTTGCTGCTTGGTCTAGTTCAAGGCTTCCTTCATGTTTTGATCGAATGCCACCTTCGTGGCGGCGCCCGGTTGCATTGAAAAACTGGTTGCTGTTCTTCTCGGCTTTTCCGAGTTGATTAAACTGGATTTGTTTTATCGGCTTTTCAATTAAACTCAGCCCGACGACGCCAGCTCCTCTGGTCTGTCCCCTCGTGGCGTCATCGCTTTTGGTTCTACTCGAGGGCACACTCAATGGACCCATTTGCATGCTCATTTAGAGTGTTTAACACTCTTCTTTCTTTGTGCGCTGACTTTCGGTTTTAAATGCATTCATTAGCGGCATTTAAATTGAATTTTGCGAGACAGTGAAAATGGGTGGTGGAGGGAAGATTATGAAAATGGTTTGTTTGTATAGAAACTATAGATTGATGTTGAGGATAAGCGATAAGATTTACATAGCATTTTTTAAGGAAATAATGAAGAATGGTATTTACTTAAAATACACTTATTATAAGCACTCGCAACTTTATTTTAAATGTGATAATCTATGTAGTTCCAATACAATTAAGTCCCTTACCAACTACCACCTGGCATTGTCATCCCACAGAGTGTCAATATTTGCGTGGCCACCGTTGTGGTTCCAGGTGGTTACCGCCAGAGTATTACAAGGGCTCCTGCTCCATTATGTAAAGTTCCTTAACCCCTACCACGTAGCCCACACGGGCCACTTGGATGCTCCGTATATCATTTCATTTTATTCCGTGTGTCAACAACTTGTTGCATGTGTGCTTCCTTTCGAAGGGAGAGGGTATCTCTAGCCCCAGTTCCAGTTCCAATCCCTCCTCCTCGTGCGCTTCCACGGGTCGCTAGTTTGCATGGCTGGCTAACTTTCATGTAAAAACGATCATTATCTGGAAAAGTTCTCGCCACCGCATTGTCGAGTCCACATATTTATTCAACTGATTAGCAGAGGTTTACAAAATTGTGGAAATATGGGGTTTCGCTTGGGGACCTTTATGATAATTAGGAGTTCGGTGTGGAAAGTGGATCCTCCACTTGACCACTTGGCCATGTTTATAAATAAAACCATTTAGACTGAACAACAATTCCAATGCAATACTGATTCATCTATCGGGTTCATTTATATATATATTTAATTACTAAACACTCATACGATTTGCAGGCTTTGATAAACTCAAAAAATAAACCCAAGTCTCATCGAAAAAGGAAATTAATAGCATAGCCAGCTGGTACCTACTTGTATATAAAGTCGTATCAAACACAGATGTTAATAGCCCTAAAACGTAATTGGTCGATTGCTCAAGCTGCGCTTAAGACCATCATTAAGTACGAATTACTGTCAAAGAGATGCGTTAACCCAATTTGATGACTTATCAGAGGCAAACGTTGTAAATTGGATTAATTGCATAATCGAAACAAGACTTGTAATGGCTTACAACATGGATTCATCATCATCGTCATAAACATAACATAACTCAATTCAATTTGCTGCTCACTTATTACATATTTATCAGGAAACGCGGAAAAGCCAGTTGAGGAAACCCCCACTGAACAAATTGAGGGTCAAAAACGCGCCAAAACCGCCGAGAAAAGCGAACATGTAATGGAAAAACGCACAGCGCATGAAAACGTGAATGAAATACAAATAAAACTCGCTTTCATTTTCGGAGCTAAATCAATCAAATGGGGAATTACTGCATTTCGAAATGAATTTCATTTATCTATCTTTGCTTTGGCAAACCACAAAGGTGACAAGTTGTTTGGCGTTGAAATATAGAAAATAGTATATATTTTCTTAGAAAAATTCAATACTTGTATATATGAAAAGATACGACTGACTCACTCTGTGTATCTTGCAGATACTCGAGTCAACAAACAAAATAAAAATGCCATGGCGTAGCCAAAAACCCGAACCGGTTGATGGCGTCAGTTTGGTCGAGAGAGAGAGAGAGAAAGATTCACCCACAAAAAAGTAGAAGAAAACTTGTTTGAGTGGCCCCGAAAAAGTTTCCTCCATGAGTTCCCCAAAAGAACAAGAAAGATCTCTGTTCTCTGGCCAAGTTCACAGCTTCCAGCTGGAGAAGTTGACTTTTATGCCCCACCATTAAGTCAAGTGTCCTCACAGGAGGGCCAAGAGCCTCGTAAATTCCCTGATTGATTGCCCTTTGACCCTTTCAGTGGCTCCAGTAGTAACTCAAGTAGTAGCTCATTCTGTGTCTATTTAGCTAATAGTTTCCCCTTTGTTTACGCCTTTATTTGCCCTATATTTCGGGTGCTCTCTGGTGTTGATCTTTCTTGGGATCTGGTGTTTACTGCACTCGACAAGATTTCCCTGAACTGCCGTTGAACTGTAGGAAAAACATTTATTGCGGCTATGAATTAAATATATATTATGTGTGAATTTTATTAATATAATTTTGTTTGACAAGGAGGGAACTGTATATTTTTGACAAGGTTAAAAAACTTGCTAAGAAATGCCAGCATTTTTAATTATAGATGTACCATATATAAAACCAATTTAAAATTGAAGGAAAATAACCTCCTGATTTAAAAAGGCTTTTACCCTTTGAATTTCGAAAAAATACTTTAACTACAGACTTTTTACTTCCACACTCAACCCATTTTATTGAAAACCCCTCAACATTTTGCTAACATCATAAAATATAATCAAGTGAAAAAAAACTTGAGAGATTTCTCTGTCAAACTATTGGAGGATGATTCACGCACAAGTGACGCTATATCCACTTTCAATGCTAACAACACAAACTGCATTTCATTTTCATTTAAATGCCTCTCCTCCAATTTTATTTTTTGTTTTATTTACTTTTTGGCTGGGGAGGCCAAGGCTTAGATTTTAAGTATTCCACAGGCGACAATAAAAACTGCACTGAGCAAAGTGAAGTGGATTTTTAAGGGGCCTAAGAGCTCATTCCCGAAAGAAATAAAGCATGTATTTATGGGTAATATTGCCCTCGAGCGATCTTATCTCCTGAGACCTCAGCCCCGATTGGTACTGTCGACTTATCAACGCTGAAAAATAAAAATCCCATTTTTTGTATAGTTTTCCAGTTATTGAAACTAAGTGTGGCGCTACATTCCATTTATATTTCTCTATACATATATTTATATTTTTGTACTGGGTCTGGGAGCGGTGTTAAAGAACCCGATAAGATTGCACACTTCTTCCAGCGAAGTGCCAGAAGTTGTCGCAGAAAGCGGTAACCATATAGGTTGGTATGTATACATAGTATAGTTCGATAGCCAAGGCAATACTTACTTGCCAAGGTGATAAGCGAATTGCTGGCAAACTTGGCGTTATGCAAGACCTTCCATTAGGTTCCATAAATATTTCCACCTGGCAATTGTTTGTGTTATAAGCCCTCTATTTAAACATTCCCAAGCCGCTGATTGCCGTGTGATATCCCTCGTTTTGTTATTTATTAAAAATCCCACCGAAAGGTAAACACTTCCTGGCTGGAAAAAAAGAAAGCTATTTAGAACTTCACGCAAACTTCTTTGATATCCGATTGCAATTGAAAATTGTATGTTTATTTGTAGAGTGCAGGAAAAGTAGCATCGTTGCATTATCTTGAATTTATAGTAGTTCAAAGGGAGTGTCGAGTCTTTCATCTATTAGGGCTTAGGGTAAACAATGCCCAACCAGGTCCTCACCCTCTCTTTAACCTTGTGCGGAGGGGCCCTGATAAGCTCCTATCAAAATAGAGCCAATTGAAGTCGAAGATAAGCATTTGTGATACCGGAACGGAAACCAAATCCATTTACATAACGGCACCTTTGCTTCGATTTGATGGCCAGCTTTCTGCCGGTGTTTTTCCCTCTTTTCCACGCTATATAAACTCCTGGTTAATGTGCAAATTCTCGGAAGAAAAGCATAAACCATTGAACTGCCTGTGTTGCCTGGAACGACCTGGAGAGCCCATCGTCTGGAGAGAGTCCAGAGTCTAGACGACGCCGTGCCCAGTTTGTTTACCCAGAGCCGCGGCAATGTTTGTCATTCGCATTGCAATAACTTCTACTACTTGGAGCTGCTGCAGTCCAGATACCAGTGGCATCTGCATTTCGTTTACACAATTCTTTAGCGGTCGGCGTTCGTTCTGCTCCTGTTAATTGATTTGCGTCTGACTTTTCTCTCTCGGCTGTAAATTGAAGTTAATTCGAAGGCGTTCCAAGGCGGCACAGGGCCAAGATGCAATTGCGCATTACGCAAAATGGGAAAAATGGAAAGTCTATCGTTGAAAAGGCTTTGTGGAAAATTATGCAGATGGTCAGAGGAAAGCGGCATTGATGGGGGAATCTTCCCCAGAATGCTGAGATGCTACAGCTGGCGAGGTTTCCCATCAAAGCTATTATTGGCAGCAGTTCAAGAAATTAGCAAAGCAGACTTGACTTGACCTATCCGCACACACATGATATTCCCAGACATAAAGGCTTTTATATAATTATTTTATGTTTCCCTTTTGCCAACGGAAGTGGAAAGTGAATAGGAAAAAGGAAAGGAAGTTCTCTATTTTGATATTTTTACATGGCCTCACAAAGTAATCATTGTTTCTTGGTTTAAAGTTTATACTATTTTAAGCATTTTTGAATATTTTGAGAATGATTTAACAACGCAAACAAGTTGTTATTTATTATTATTATCCCCTTAAGTGGCTTGCTGTCTAAGTTCAATGCTATCTTTATATGATTTCATTCTAAATTTAATTAGATATCCCCAAAACAAACCCCATAAAAGCGTATAAAAGCATTGACCCAGTAAATAGCCAAGCCAAGCCAAGTCAAGCCTCTTGTTGACCAATTTATATGACGTCAGATGCCCCTGAAAATGCACTGTTAGCTTATTGATTTTCTCCGGCGTCTGGTGTGAAGTGCGATTTGCTGAATTCTGAATGAATCATCGGGCGGAGGAGGAGCGGGTACTATTCAATGGCTATATGCAAATTCCGCTTATAGAACAGACAACAACGCTGAGTCAGGCGTTAACTTGTTTAGCACTCGAAGCCGACAATTTGTTTATTGATACAAGCTTAAATTGAGTAATATTAGATGCCTTTGCCATGTGCTCAGGGTATCAGATGACTCAGAGTGATGTAAATTAGTAAAATTAATAGTAAAAGTAATACTAACTGTTGCTGGAATTTTGTATACTATACATATTCAGGGTACAACCAACGCCTGCCGACTTACTTGTTTTTTCTTTCTGCTTTTATCTTGATTACGTCATGGCTCGACCGGCGGCAATGCATAAAGAAAGACATTCACAGTCAGCGACAAATCGTAATAATGAATAATATATACATATATACCCGAAGTTGAGTTTATGAAGTGCGCGAAAGAATGAGCATGAGAATGTGCGAAGCCAGCCAGAAGACTTTAAATTATGGCTATATTTTGGGAAGGCACTTTGACTTCTTCCAAAAAAGGGGAAGTTAAAATCATGTGCTTTGCACTTGAGTACATAAAAGAATGTAAATAATCTTTAATGGAACATGCACACCACAAGTTTTGGAAATGATAAGCTTTTTGGTCTTTTTATGGGAGCTATGAGTCAGTTTTCCACAAGATAAAGCCTTTATAATTCGCAGACAGAAATAGGAAATAAATTTTGATATATTACTCTGGCTTTTAAAGCAAAAGATAAACAAAAAAATATTAAAAATAAAGCAGATTTTGATGACTTTTTATATACCTAAATTAAACTTCTTATAAAATATTAAATACCCGCCTGTGGACAATCAAAAATATATATTTCAAAAATGCTTAATTTATATTCCTTTATAAAATTGGAATATTTCAAGACTTTGTCAACATATTTATTCAAAATAAATCGTTCTCCACCATATCAAAGATACAATGACCCCTTTTATCCCTACCTAAATCTTTGCAGATTTATTTTCAAACATCAAGAACTGATTGAACTTCAATCACAGACCATTCACGTCCAGTTTTTTCTATTTTGACAATTACTTGGGCTACAATTTATATAGCCCAGTCTGCCCTCCTCCGCAGAAGGCAAGTGGAAAGTCATGCGGGGCCTTAAACAATTTTTGACGTTATGTCAATCATGCGCCCCGTGGGCGATCCTCCACGCCCACGCCAAAGCATTCGCTCCCTTCCGCCGGTGGTTTGTCCATATGTGACTAATGGCGGCGGAACTCTTCTGGGGGGGAAATCGTAGAAATGGAAACTTTTTATTTTCAGCTTTGGTTTTCTATTTCTTATTTTTGCTAAGAGGCTTGCTGCCTGCCCTTTTGCTACAAAGCTGCTGACCCATTGGCGGCATGCTAAACGCTTTCTTGGACACCATCAACGGCATGGAGTTCACTAGTTCAGCGTTTAGTCATTTGTCGCCTGTCACTATTTTGACCCAGATGTCGCCGGCGGAGAAGCGTCTGAAAAGCCAGCCGCCGTCTATAAATAAGCACTGAAAAGTTAAGTAAAAACATGTGTGCTCCAAGTGAGAGACTCCCCGACCCAAGCCAGCAGCCAAAACATAAATACAAACAAATGCGCGTATTAAGTGTATTGTTTTAATCGCCTTTCCAGACTCTCCTCTCATTTCGGACTAACAAAAACTGTGCTGGCTTAGCTTGGTTTTGTTTCAACAATTTCTCCGTTTGCTTTGTCTGTTAATTTTCTGCTTTAATTTTGTGTTTTTTTGTTGTGCGTTTTTTGGGAAAACACTCCACTCCGTCCAGCTCCAACGTTTTGTAATAACTTGTTGCACAGTCTGGGGCTGGACTTGGCTTATGTGGCGGCGGCTCATCTGGGTGTAATTTGTAGCTGGTAATGGCTTATGGTGTAACTCTTACTTTCGGGGCAGTCTCTGGCCGGGGCCAGGTCTCTGGTGAATTTTCTAGTGAATTGTTGAAAGTAATTTGCATTTAACTTCACGCGAATTCCAAATGAGTTCACTGGGGGAGTATTGCAAATTAACTTTAGTTTTGGGTACTTTTTTAGGTGGATTAAGTAAACAATTGGGTAACTAAGTCTAGGGATTTAATATCAAATGGTTTTCTAACCAAGTAAATAAATGATGTCTGCATTTTTGGATACCTATTGTTGTTAAAGATTAACTTTGTTTGAAAACTTTTAACAAAAGCTCAAAAATTTAACAAAAAACAGTTTCCAGTGGATTTGCCCCTGACTTACTTCCCTATAATTTTTTTAAATACACTTGAGACATTTTTCCCACTAAAGTTCGATTAGATAACTCACAATCATAGACAGTTTATCTTGGAAAACTATCAAAAAACACAATCTACATATTCTTACAAAAACCCCTACTCATACCTGGTAGAAATGACTACTAGCGTATCTATTAGTAACTTTAATATTCCGAAAGTTTGTCAGTTTTGTAAACAATCAAATAGCATTCTATGTGCGCCCCCATTCCGCTTCTCTTTCATTGTCTATCCAGCCAAAGTGACCCACTTACCGAAACTGAATGCATTTTATTAACACAACAAACTGTAGACCCAATCTTTTGGCGCCTTACAAATGGAACACAAAATAGATGCATCTATATACAGATACACATAAAGCTTATGGAGACTATAGACTGTTGAGATCCCATAGCAGTCAATCAAAATTTGATCCAGATCAATTAAACTCTGATAGCTGCGTCTCTCGGAGTGCAGCAGGTATATCGCATAAACCCGTATCTCAGCGGTTGTTAGGAAAACCATTTCCGAATCGAAAGCCACAGGCGCCAACCACGGGCGGTGGGCACCCCACCTGGCCACCTGATCTGGGGGAGAACCATTTATTTTAGTCTAAAATCGAAAATGTATTTCGTAATCATCGATGGAAAATGCATTTACAAACACAATCTTTTTCCATTTTTTTCTTTCGCAGATTCCAAGTTGGTTCCATCTACACATACATCGGCGAGGTGTGCGTCTCGATGAATCCCTACAGACAGATGAATATCTATGGCCCGGAGACGATCCGCAAGTACAAGGGCAGGGAGCTGTTCGAGAATGCTCCGCATGTGTTTGCTATTGCCGATGCCGCTTACAGGGTGCTCAAGCAGCGCCAGCAGGACACGTGTATCCTGATTTCGGGAGAATCTGGAGCCGGCAAAACTGAGGCCTCGAAGATCATTATGAAGTACATAGCGGCAGTGACGAATGCACAGGGACAGAATGAGATTGAAAGGTAAATATTGGATTAGTAGAAATATTTATAGAAATAGTGTATTTACTTTGATTATAAATAAATAGATAGCAGAAATCATTAGAGAATTTTAGAATTAAGGAAGCTTAAGGCTTACAAATTTAAACTAAAGAAAATAGAAAGTAAACTCAAAGAATCAATTAATTATTTGTTCTTTAAATTGGAAACTAGAACAAAATCACCTTTATTTTTAACATATTACAAGCGCTCTTAATCATAATTCCTGAACTGACAGTTTGCACTGATTATATAGTAAATTAGTTTATCAATTTAGTCCCCCGACCCCTGCTATATGCATGCCTAGGTTGATGGACGACCGGCTTCCAGCCTTATCACAATACTGTGAACCAGACAATGGGAACCAAACCTCGATCTATAACATGTCAGTTTGCCGGGAAAAAGTCACTTACCGTTGCCATTGTTTCGCCATGCAAATCATGCGACATGCAATTTATATCTGGATGGTGGTACTATAGCCTTCTAATTAAGCTCAGGCCAAGGCTTTGCCATCCCCAAATGTATAGAATAATCGCTCACATGGTCGTCGCGTGACCCATGACCCCCGTCAGTGACATCATATGGTCGACAGCTTAAGTTGCCAAATTAATTGCCCCACTAATTGCCTTCCCAGGGACCTTCTTTTTATCACTTGGGTGTAGTTTAAGGTGCCCCATAAAATCGCTCAGACCAAGCTAAGCGACCAAGCCCCCAACTCAACACAATGGCCAGCTAAATTGCCAATTTTTAGTGCCTCGAATGAAATTTAAAATGACATTTACTATGCTTTTGCAGAGGGGGAATTAAGGGCGAGTGCCATTTTCCAAATTACTTTTTCTACAGGGAAACAAAAGAGCTTTTAAGTGTGCATTTATGAAATTTGATTGTGTGTTTTTCATTATGTCGATTTGATTTTAATTGCGTATTTCCTAAAGTCGTCCAGTGTAAAATAAAACATTATTAATTATGAGCAAAACATTCCATGCTCTTGTGAGGCGATTACTTATTTCTTGGAAAGACTATTAAATTATTTAATAGGAAACCCAACATCGTTTTTAAGAATAAATTTCTTACATTTAAAACCAATGAGTAATATAATTTTCTAATCTTCGCTTCCAGAGTCAAGAACGTACTCATCCAGAGCAATGCTATCCTGGAGACCTTCGGCAATGCCAAGACGAATCGCAACGACAACTCCAGCCGCTTCGGCAAGTACATGGACATTGAGTTCGACTACAAGGCGGATCCGGTGGGTGGCATCATCACAAACTACCTGCTGGAGAAGTCGCGAGTGGTGCAGCAGCAGCCTGGGGAGCGCAATTTCCACAGTTTCTATCAGGTGAGTGAGGATTGAATGTATAGCCAGGCAGCTATTCGTGTGTGGCACGAATATTTACCCAAGTGAGTCAGCGTGACGCGTGCCAGATGACGAAAGCTGGACGGGATGGGAATGGTGCCTAGAAATGGGGATGGGGTGTGTCAGTGGGGCGTCAATTACTCGGGGGTGTCAGGTTGTTAGTTTTTCGGCTGTTGTTGGTCTTGGTCTTTGGGTTTTTTGGACATTTATTGTAGCTGGTTTTTGTGGGCCTGGCCCTTTCCCTGGCCCCACTGCTGTGTAAACACTATTTTGTATTTTACATGAGCGCCAAAGCAATTTGAGACAGTTTTATTGGGGAATAATATAAATTGTAGTACAGTTTTTTGGTTATTTAAAATTACATTTCTTAGATTTTTTCTTTTTACTTGGTATTATCTTGGTGTTAATTTCAATTTAATTCAAGGCTTTTTTATATTTATTTATCAAATATTTGTTATCTATTTTTATTCACAAAGTAACATTTGTCATTTTAAAGTTCCCAAGTCAGCGAATTTTGATAAAATTATTTGCTTAGTAAACGGCAAAACTTCTGGGAAAGTCCACTGTGACACAACTTGTACTTAAATAAATAAACAACAAAGAATAATCACAAAACTAAAGAGATTTTGGCGTCAATTGAAATAAAAGCAATTAATATAATTTAATTACTAGCTCTGACAGTGTCAAACAAATTTACCATACATTCCCCACCGACTCTGGTCTCTGCAAATGGATGATATCATTCTGAAAATGATAACGAAGGCGTACCCCCAAGACTCATCATCCAATAAACCAGAAAAACAGATCGCGTCACAGACGAGGCCTGCGCACACACCCAAAATTGAAAGCCCACCCATTTTTCAAGTCAATTCAAAGGTGTTGAGGTGCTAATTGATCGCTATTTCCGATCCAGCTAAAGGTATTTGATCAATTCAGAGCTCATTTAGCACATTTATCATCTGGCAGGAGGCACTTAATCAAATTGAGTTGAGAGCAAGTGTTTGGGTCTGGTTTTTGCCAGAGTTCTGGTCGATATTTATTTTGGATTCGTTCCTAAACAGTTGACGGTGTTTATTTTTAAATTGACTTAAAATAAATATTGTGCCACATTGTGGAATGCTTGGGCCTAAGGAAAGTGCCTGCTGCATTGGTCATAAATTTCCAGGTTTGGCCAAGACATAATTTATGACTACCTAAAGGTACTTCCTGCTTGCAGTAAGAACTCTCTTCAAATAAACAATACTTATACCTGTGCTCAGGTGCTGATAAGTATGTAGATGTTTATTGATTATTCATTTTATGTCTTGCTCAACTGATAAAAAACGTTGAGAAATATACAAGGGGTTATCTAGGAATGGTATAATCGACGGAAATATAATATTTTTCAAGTGATATCTTTGCGAAATAGGTATTATTAGTATATGCTCTTTAAAGATAATGATTCTAGCTTAACTTTGCCTAAGGTGTTGACCCTATTTTCCTACAAACTTTGGAATTTTTGGCACTACAATTTAGTTAAATGGCAAACTGCCAAACCCAATTAAAAGCGGAAATTCAATTATAGTTAAAGCCTCAACTAATTGTCTGCTGTGCTAAATACTTGGGTATATATGGTCATGTAGCACAGTCTGAATTTATATAAAAATAGGTTTGAAGACCTTAATTAATACCTCTTCCTCCCTCCCCTTTTATATTTCAGCTACTCCGCGGTGCCAATGACAACGAACTGCGGCAATATGAACTCCAGAAGGAGACGGGCAAGTACCATTACTTGAACCAGGGTAGCATGGACATTCTGACAGAGAAGTCTGACTACAAGGGCACTTGCAATGCCTTCAAAACGCTGGGTTTCTCGGCGGATGAAGTGCAGACTATTTGGCGAACTGTGGCGGCCATTCTCCACCTGGGAAATGTGGAATTTCAGAGTGAGTACCTCGAAAAATTCTCATCAATCGATGTTAAATTAATTTATTGTTTATTATCATAGCCATTGAGGACGAGCTGGTGATCACCAACAAGCAGCATTTGCAGTCCACCGCCAAGCTCCTTCAGGTCACTGAATCCGAGCTCTCCACTGCGCTGACCAAGCGCGTCATTGCCGCTGGTGGTAATGTCATGCAGAAGGATCACAATGCCACACAGGCGGAGTACGGCAAGGATGCGTTGGCCAAGGCCATCTATGATCGTCTGTTCACATGGATCATCTCGCGCATCAACCGGGCAATCCTTTTCCGCGGCAGCAAGACCCAGGCTAGGTTCAACTCCGTCATTGGAGTGCTGGACATCTACGGCTTTGAGATCTTTGACTCGAACAGCTTTGAACAGTTCTGCATCAACTACTGCAATGAGAAGCTGCAGCAGCTCTTTATAGGTAGGAAAATGCCTCTTACAGTAGTAAGGAGTAAGGCTGATCTTAATAGAGTAATCCCTTACAGAACTGGTGCTTAAGCAGGAACAGGAGGAGTACCAACGCGAGGGCATCGAGTGGACCAATATTGACTACTTCAACAACAAGATCATTTGCGATCTCGTCGAGCAACCGCACAAGGGCATCATAGCCATCATGGACGAGGCCTGTCTCAGCGTGGGCAAGGTCACCGACGACACCCTGCTGGGTGCCATGGACAAGAACCTGAGCAAGCATCCTCATTACACAAGCCGCCAGCTGAAACCCACCGACAAGGAGCTGAAGCATCGTGAGGACTTCCGCATTACCCACTATGCCGGCGATGTGATTTACAATATCAATGGCTTCATCGAGAAGAACAAGGACACGCTGTATCAGGACTTCAAGCGCCTCCTGCACAACTCTAAGGATGCCAATTTGAGCGAGATGTGGCCTGAGGGGGCCCAGGACATCAAGAAGACCACCAAGAGGCCGCTCACTGCTGGCACTCTGTTCCAGCGTTCCATGGCCGACCTGGTAGTGACACTGTTGAAGAAGGAACCCTTCTATGTGCGCTGCATCAAGCCCAATGACATCAAGAGCTCGACGGTGTTCGACGAGGAGCGAGTGCAGCACCAGGTGCGCTACCTTGGTCTCCTGGAGAATGTGCGGGTGCGTCGCGCTGGTTTCGTAAATCGCCAGCGTTACGACAAGTTCCTGCTGCGCTACAAGATGATCTCGCACTACACCTGGCCCAACTTCCGGTCGGGCAGCGAACGCGACGGAGTCCGTGTGCTCATCGAGGAGAAGGGCTTCGCCCAGGACGTCAAATACGGTCACACGAAGATCTTCATCCGCTCGCCTCGCACCCTGTTCGCCTTGGAACAGCAGCGCAACGAGATGATCCCTCACATTGTGATCCTCCTCCAGAAACGGGTGCGTGGATGGATTGCCAGGAGGAACTACAAGAAGATGAAGGCGGCCATTGCCATTATGCGGGCATACAAGACGTACAAGCTGCGCAGCTACGTCCAGGAACTGGCCAATCGCTTCCGCAATGCCAAGCAGATGCGTGACTACGGCAAGAGCATCCAGTGGCCACAGCCGCCGCTCGCCGGCCGCAAGGCAGAGGCCAAACTGCATCGCATGTTTGATTTCTGGCGTGCTTACATGATCCTGCGCAAGTATCCACGCAGCGAGTGGCCCCAGCTCAGGCTGCAGATTATTGCCGCCACTGCTCTGGCCGGCCGGAGACCCTACTGGGGTCAGCAGCGTCGCTGGCTGGGCGACTATCTGGCCAACTCACAGGATAACAGCGGCTACGATGCCTACTCCACCAATGTGCGGAATATGAAGAACCAATTGGCCAGTGCAAATGCCAATGGGGCGGAATCCTTCCGCCAGGTGCTGTTCTCCGGCTTTGTGAAGAAGTTCAACAGGCATAACAAGCAGGCGGATCGTGCCTTCATCGTCACCGATACGACTATATACAAGCTGGACGGTATCAAGAAGAAGTTCCGCAACTTGCAGAGATCTATTGGGATAAGAGAGGTGGGCTTAGGATGAGTGTGAAGGATGCATATCCCTTTATAGACCTTATTTAAATCTTGTTTCCTCTCCAGTTGACTTCTATTAGCATAACGCCTGGTCGGGATCAACTGGTGGTCTTCCACTCCCCCAAGAACAATGACTTGGTGTTCTCCCTGCAGGGCGAACACACCACCCTGAAGGAAGATCGCATTGGTGAGCTGGTGGGCATTGTTTGCAAAAAATACCATGAGTAAGTTTCCGCCTTATAGAAAACCCCGCTTCTTGGCCAGACTAACCCCTGATCTTCCACAGCATCACCGGCACCGAGCTAAGGGTGAACGTGAGCAACAACATAGCCTGCAGACTGGGCGACAAGGCCCGCACCATTGTAGTGGAGGCGGCGTCCAATGTGGAGATACCCAACTTCCGTCATAATGCTGGCAACATTATCTTCGAGGTGCCAGCGTCGTATTGCGTTTAAGCAGGGAGTGGCGATTGATACCACCGCCTGTATTGTAAATTATGGAAACCCCTTAGGCTTAAAATGATTTTTTACTTGGACAAATCCACTCTGTGTATACCCCGTCGTGCCTTCTGCCCACTCACCCGCTTTCTATGTAGTTGTTAAACGTCCTCTTCTAGTTAGTCCCATCTATGTTCCGTGTCTTCGATAGGAAAAAGTGATTGATTGATTGATTGATAGTCTGTGTAATTTTGTAAATTTTGTCTTATACTATAAGTCGATATATATTTATTTACCGCGTCCATGCGAGAGAGTGGCCCTGGCTGGCAGACAACAAAAGCGAAATCGAAAAGTATTAAATGTACTTTGTGCATTTTTTGTTCACAGCACACACCAGAAATATTATATTTTCTAAAATAAATAATCAACGAGAAACGTTTTGTACTTAAAGCGAAAAATATGAAAGTGTGCCATTTGCAAATAATAATATTTATATAATGTTTATAAAATAAAATGTGTAAACTTTGTACTTGAAAAGTAGCCCTAGAGTTTGAATTCCACTCACTTCCAGACCCTAGAGCCTAAGCCCTTCCCTAGCTCAGTCTGACTTCTAGTTTCAGCGAGTAGCAAGCTTATATTATGTTTGGAAAAACGAACAAATTAAGAAAACGAAATTTATTTTAAAGAGAAAGTGAACTCATCTTCGTCATGTTTTCCCTAGAAGACAATGGCGTAAGGCCCTGCCGGGAGGGCTCCTTGGAGTCCTGGCATCAGGCTCTTCCTCACTCGTCCAAGCTCGCCCACAATCCGGAAAGATACAATTGGGGCGATGTCGACACCCTGTTTGAGGACCAGGTCCAGGTGGTTACCTCCAAGCATTTAAAGTGCTTTTATGATAATCAAGCCGGCATTTCGAAAGGAAAAGATTTCCGTATCTTGAAAAAACTAAAGTTAAAGCGACTTGACAAGCCCAGGATTGGAGGAAAGCTTCTTCAACGCACTGTCCCAGCACCCAAAAGCAAAAAGTTGAGACTTAAGCTGGGGAAACATGATATTACAGCTAAGCGTCTGCTCCAGAAAACTCAGAACAAGTTAATGAAGGCCCTAAGAGGTGCCGCCAAGACACAGGAATAAATCTCTTCCTCTCTCTCTCTCTCTCTGTGTATGAGATCCTCCTAGCCCCAGCATCATTCATACGCATTTCGTTTGGGGCGAATCAAAAGTGTATTGGCAGAGACCGAAATAAAGTGCACATGGCTCGCTGCCGATTGATAAAAGATAAAAATAAAGAGATCAGTGGTCTCGGTCCTCCGCTCTTCCGTTGCGGAATGTTCAATTCGCTCGCATTCGCTTGTAAATTCTCGAGGGGAACGGCACGCGTGCATCGATCTGTGGGCCTCAAGGTGATTACATAAAGTTGGCAGAAAATCCACCCCAGAGAGACCATGCAGAAGGCTATCAAGAAGGAGCTTAGCTTCTCGCTGGACACGCTGGAGCGTTACCGGGCCAAGTATGGACGCAGTGCCTCGCTGGACACAAATGGCGGCATTGCTGTGGCAGCCCTCACGGATGGGGAGCCGGTGACGGCAGCCTTATCGCCGCCTGCCCCACCACCTCCTAGCGTCTTCACCAAGTCCTACTCGCCACCAAAGCTAACCAAACTCCAGGAGTTGCAGCAGAAGAAGGAGGCCTATCTGAGGGCCAAGGAGCATGAGAGGGAAATGGAACAGCTGCAGCGTACGGAGCGACGAGCGGCCACATCCACAAATGGCTTGGATGCACCCAAACCCAAGACAGGCAGTCCCACAAAGACTTCTCCCACTCCCAATGGCACTTCGACAGCTGCTGCTGCAGCCACAAAGTCCTCCAGCCCGGCGGGCTACTCCAACTGGTCCAACCATCATGCAACTCTCTGCTCCCAGCCCTGGGTGGCCATTTCGGAGCTGATGTACTTCTGCGACAAGTACGAGTTCACCACCCTGAGCACGCGCGATCTGAGGACACACCAGGAAATCGTGGCGGAGGTGCGGGCCCTGCTGTCGGGCAAGGCGCCTTTCGATCAGCGTACCCGGTTTCCCGGCAACATTCACGATCCGGAGAACCTGTGGGTATGCATTGGTCGCTGTGCCAGCGTAGAGTACCATCTGCAGCGCATCATCAGCATCTTCCGGAAGCCACTAAATCAGCTCACGCCCGACAAGCAGCGAACAGTGCGCCAGAACTTCCATCTGGCGGTAAGTGAGCTCCGGCTGGACATCTCGGCGCGGATAAGCGAGGTGCGCCTGTACGATCGCTTGGTCTTTGAGCGAGAGTTCCGGCTGGAGTGGCAGGAGGCGGAGGCCTAACGAGAAAAAAGTGATCATGATCAGTGTGGTGGACAGTAACGTTTATTGCAAACTCTTCGCGCGGTGAAAAAAAAACGGTTACAAAAATACACTTGGACACGGGAGACAGGAGACGGGCACGGGTGCTTGGAGTACATAGCGTGCTCCTCCATATACCTTTTTCAGCTACATATATATAGTACATATTTCACAAAATCTAGACCGTGTGTGGTGGATTGCTCTCTCAACAATTGCTCGCGTAACTAAATCTAAAGGCCGCCGGCGGGGGAACAGGTGGAATCGGGCTACATAGCCCGAGTCTGTCCTCAGATCAAGGCGCAACTTATGGATTACAAACATTTCTATATAATATGTACACATAATGTTAACGTTAAAATAAAGCACTTTTGTGTGAGTGGTTGCTCGTGATAGAGAGTTGGTGGTGCGAGTGGTGCTTAAACAACTAGCGGAAGATACAAGAGCTCCTCCAGGATGCCACCTGACCTAATTGGGTCTTTGGTTAAACGTGCGTTTAGTCAACATCAACAACATCTAGGTATGTAAGTGCAAAATGACGGGGAAGGACCAGCTTCCCTAGCAAAACTTGAGCTTCATCTTGCTCGTCTTGGGCACGTTGCGGATGGTGAGGGAAATGCGTGGCGAGCGGCGAACTAGGTGATCGCCAATCTTGTAGGTATTCTCGCACAGATCATAGTTGCAAATGCGATCGCAGAGCACATCCTCGTTGTTCTCCGCTATGGAGTGCAGATAGTCGCTGTACAGAGTGTCCTTCAAGATAAGCAGACTGCGCGGTTCCAGCAGCAGCTTGAAGAGCACCTCACGGGGAGCCGCCTGTTGATCCTCCTCGGTTTCCCGCTTACCAAACTCCAGTACAGTGTGTGACCCGCACGAGATCGTCGATATAATAGGATAGAAGAGCGGTCCGTCCGTGTGGGGCAGGATGCCCTGCCCGGGCAGATACTCATTGACCAGCACATGGTTGGCATTCTGCGGCGACTCGAAGACGCCCAGATTGTTTACCTTGTCCACGTAGGTCTGCAGCCACTCGGGTATCTCCTCGGCAATCATGCCATTGGGATGCGGGATGCCGCCATAGTTGACCAGCCGCCGGTTGAGCAACTGGGTCCAGCGCGGCTTGGGTGTACGCTCAATGTGGCTGAGGATGCGCTGCTCCTCCTCGGATGTGATGAAGTTAGGAATGTACATGACAGTCGGCGGGCACTGCCAATGGGCAGAAGGGGTTATCATTGCTTGGTTCTTGGCTAATTTCTGGACCTTACCTTGCGCACTTCGAAGCCCGTGAAGTCCATGTCTACGGCTAATCAAACGGACTTGCTACGCTAAAGCTAAAGCTACAGTTATTGCTAATCAATATTTTGCTCGGGCTTTCGATTTCATTTCCAGCTGATTTCAAAAGCTAGAGTTGCCACCACAGAAAAACAAATATTTACTATTAACTCGGTCACATTGTGGTCCGCCTTAAAAGGGCAACTTTTCTCTTTTTATTTCTATAATTTAATTTAATAATAATAAACAAAACCCACTTTGGTTTTACATTTTCATATAACACCCGAGTTTTAGTTTAAATTCCCGCCTAGCAAAGGTCTATCGATATACCAAATGCCGATACACTGGCGGCCGATAACTGCACAGCCGCCCATCCCTATTACGGGCAAAAACATTGCCCACGTAGATCAACTAAAATTTACTTGACAAAATCGTAACTTAGCCTTTTGGGAGTAACGTCTCCTAACAAATGTTTGCAGGATGAGTGTAGTGGACCAACTGAGCGCCCTGGACTTGGGCACAAATGGACAGGTAGACGAGACCCTGCAGAGAATAGCTGAAGAAGAGGTTCGGTTCACACGCAATGTCAACAATAATCCGCATAAAATAAAAACGTTTTAACTCCTTTTGCAGGCGAAAGTCAACGAGAAACTGGAAGCTTTGCTGGCCAAGCAATGCCAGATAGAGTCGAAAATGAGTGGCATTGGTCGTTCCCTGACGCTGCTGCACACCGTGGACAGTGATTCCAGCAAGTTGAATGCACAAATCGTAAACACCGCCCAGTTGGCCGAGTCTGTGAGCGCCAAGGTACGCCGGCTGGATTTGGCCAGGTGCCGGGCCTCTGAGTGCCAGCAGCGGGTTCACGACCTGATCGACCTGCACCTGTGCAGCCAGGGCGTGATAAAGGCCATCGGTGAGGAGGACTACGAGAAGAGTGCCATGCACATTGCTCGCTTCCTGGCTATGGATCAGCAGCTTCTGCGGCGCACGGCTGACGATGTCCAGGGCTCTATAACGTCGGTGAGCGATGCGGTGAAGACGCTGGAGGATGCCACGGAAAAGACACGAGTGCTCATAGCAAAGCGATTCGACGAGGCCGTCAAGAGCGATGATTTGGCTTCAGTGGAGAGATTCTTCAAGATATTTCCGCTTATAGGCTGCCATCGCATTGGCATTGAGAAGTTTTCCACATACATTTGCCAGAAGCTGGCGTCGAAGGCGCAGAAGGAGCTACGAAATGCCCAGGATATAGCCAAGGCCGAATCCAGGCTGCAGTTGGCGTATGCTGATCGCTTGACTGCCATTCTGGAGAATTTTGCGCGAGTCGTCGAGGTCAATCAGCCCATTATTGAAGCTTTCTATGGCCAAGCGTAGGTGTTACTTTGCTGTAATGCTAAAATCAATTAATTTCTATGGATTTCCTTAGCTCTGCCTCCTTGATTGACATGGTGGCCATACTGCAGCACGAATGCGATGCCGAGGTCAAGAACCTGCTGATGGAGTTCAACAAGAACCGGCAAATTCAGTACCGCAGCAAGCAAGTGAATGAATCCACACAGAAGAGCGCTGCAGGCGGCGGCAGTGTGGGTAGCAACAGCATTCAGGCCTTGGGGCATTATAGGAAACCCTCTGGTGGTTCCGTGGACAAGCTTAATCCCAAGGAAATCGATGCCATCATTGCTGAGATCACCGTGATGCATGCCAGAGTCGAGTTGTACTTTAGATTCATGCGACGCCGCTTGCAGGTGAGTAGAAAAAAAGCAGCATTTAGGCCTTAAATTACCTTAAAGTTGTTTCGGGCAGGTTCATATAGAGACTTGTGTGCCCGAGAAGGAACAAATGGAGATAATGGAGCGCTATGAGAAGATCATGAAAAACTCCGACTTGCGTCGGCAAATGCAAGAGATTCTGAGCACCTATTTGCTACTTGAAAGGTATGTGTTTCTCTAAGATTATAAATAACAACGACTTAATATATATTTCATTTGAATTTACAGATATTTCATGGAGGAAAGCGTCTTAAAAGCCATCGGCCTGGATGCCTATGAGCCCGGACAGCAGTGCTCCTCCATGGTGGACGATGTCTTCTTTATACTTCGCAAATCCATACGCCGAGCACTGACCACACAGTCCATCAATGGAACCTGTGCCGTCATCAATAATGTGGCCGCCTGTCTGGACGGTGACTTTGTGGCGGCACTTAAGGCACCCCTGAAAAATGGTTATCCATCGGGCTACATAGACCTGGCCCAGGCCTATAATGCCATTCAGACGACCCTGCAACAGGGCAAATTACATTCCAGTGATGCCGATAGGGTTCGTGGCAATTTCCTTGTCCAACTAAACAACGCCGATATCTCCACCGAGTATATTGAGACTCTGTGGCAGACGATGGAGCAGGAAATCGCTGGTACATTTCCACAAACCTCGCCGGTGGAGCGACAATTGCTGGACAGCTGCCTCACAGAACTGAAGGCTGTGCGGGATACCCTGAAGGCCACCGTTGATTTTGGCATGCAGCAACTCAGGTCCAGTGTTATCAAGCCGCGACTCAATCCCTGGATTAATCAGTTCTTGAATTATAGTCACAATTTGAATGAGGTGAGGTGACTATATAATATTCAAAAATTCTTTTGAAACTGTATTATTTGGCAGGAGGAATTGGCTGCCTACGAGGCTGGCGAGACTTTTGTTCAGTTTTTCATTGTGCAACTGGATGGGCTGCTCAATTCCTTCAAGAGCTCCCTGAGTCCCAGGAACTATGATGCCCTGGTCAGTATTCTAGCCACCGAAGTAACAATTCAATTGGAAAGGGCTATAAAGAAAATTAGCTTCAACAGAGTGAGTATTTCGATCAGGGATTATTTAAATTAAATATAAATACATCAATTTAAATATAATTTTATTAAAAATAATATACTTGTCTTAGCTGGGCGGCCTGGTTCTCGATCAAGAGGTCCGCGCCTTGGGTAGTTACCTAACTGGCGCCACATCCTGGTCTGTACGAGATAAAATGACGCGCATTTCTCAAATAGCCACGCTTTTGAATCTGGACAAGATTTCAGAGCTCTCCGAGTACTGGAGTCCCGAGAATAACAAGGAAATGTCCACCTGGCACTTGACGCCCAACGAAGTTCGCACATTTTTAACCCTAAGGTTAATATATATTTATTCACTTTTCATATCTTCACTTTTAACACGTTTTTTTTTAATGGTACTTTTACAGAAGCGACTTTCGTATAGAAGACATCAAACGGCTGCAGCTTTAGGCTCTTTGGTCAGACGGGCAGTGATGCTGGCTAAACCAATGGTTAAAGTCCAATCGCAGCAGCAGCTGGGAGAGCGGACCCAGGCAAGATGAAGTCCTTATGTCCACAAGTAGTTGAATAAGGCTGGCAATTTGTACACCAAATCTGTAAAAACAAAGTTTATTTATTGGAGCCTTATAATAAATATATATATAAAAAATCGAATAATGCATACTCCCTTTCAAGACGCACGACCTCCTCTGTGATATCTTCCGTCTCGATCGAGTGCGTCATGTGTATGAACTTCTCGCATATGCTAAAAAGCTTCAGAATGGTGCCGTAAATGGGATTCGCCTGGGTTTGGCAAGCGGTGATATTCAGGTGAGCGTCTTTAGTGTCCGAAAGCAGGAAACATTGCGACAGCACATTCGCCAGGAAGATTGTGTGCGCTCTTTGGATTTCCTCGAAATCCGACCTGCTCCGTATCACATTCATGAATATCTCAAACTGACCTGTAAGTAGATTTGTCATGAATGCACTTCCAGGGGCAAGCTACTCACATTCAAGCACATCCACCTGGATATAATACTGCAGATTGTTTAGAAAGAAGAGCAGATGATTGCGGAGATTCATGACCCTGATGTTAGTGCCGCCGGACTCGGCCTTTTCCGTCCACGTCTGCGTGGCCCACACTCGCTGCATTTGGTACTGAAGGCCGCGGATTATGAGCAAGAAGCGAAAGATTTTATTGTAACGCTCAATGGCTTTCGGTGAGAACAATAAATTCAGGGGCCATTCGTAGATGTATTTCAAGTGCATAGATTGCAGAACCTGAAAATCGTAGCTCTCATCGGGCTCCTCGCTGTTTCTCAGACTGCTGAGGGAGAAGTTTTCCAGATCATCCGTGATTCGCAGTCCAGTGGCGGCCAGCTGCAAGGAATTAATGTAATAAAAAATAGGAAAAATAGTGCTTAAGCTCACCTCAAACGCTCTGGTGTAGTTTCTCGAACGCATTTCCGTATTGATATCAAAATTGCCATACAACTGCGAGAAAAACTCCAAGAAAAACTCTCCGCGGCCCAGCAAATAGAAATCCTTCAGCAAACCCATTTGACGCTCCAAATCCACCTCGTTGACTGCAATTTCCGAGAGTCGCCTGCTCACAAATTTCTTGATTTCGTTCACAACTTGCTCGATGCGGAAAACATTGATCTTATCGTCGTTGCTGAGGTCTTGTATTGTCTTGAAGAACTCCGACTCGCGGCCGTTCCACAGCTCATAGATATCCTCGCGTGACATGTCATTTAGTTCCACTGCCATTTGATCCATTTTATTCTTGCTCTTAGGATTTCGTCCCATCTTGAAGACGAGCACAGTTTGACCCACGAAGAGAACCTTCTCGGCACTAATGATGGACAGAAAGCCGGGCAACTGCTTCATATTGATTTCATATTGCCAGATGTAGTCCTCAGTGGTTTGCTCGGCACTCTGGCAAATAATGATATTATTATTAAAGAAAAAAGAAGGGGGGGAAACTCTTACCGAAATAAAGCTTTGCGTAGATTTGCTGCAAGTGCTACCCTGTCCAGATTCCAAGGGAATGAAATTGATGAAAAACTCCGTGTGAATATCATCGATCACGCCAAAGAGCATCCAGTGAGCCAGGCTCGAGAAAAAGGCATACTTGACAGGCTTGATAACTCTATAAGGAATACAACAGTTAATCAATTTAATATTTGAAACTCGGTATTTGAAACTTGCTTTTGGACCACTCTCTCTAGCTGCGGGTCTCCGTGCTCGGACTGCTGGTGCAGGTTGTGCAGCAGGGCACAGCCTCTTAACTTCATCACCTTAACTTCCATGATGAGCTTCCGCACCAGCATCAGCATAGGCAGCTTGGTCCGCAGGGCGTTGTGCACATAGGAAAGCGAGTTGCGCTTGGTTTTGCGACAATCCGCTTCCAGGCGGACTATTTCCTGATACGACTCCTCCAAGGCACTCTCGATGCCCTTGACAAAGTTCAGCATGTAAAAGCCATGTGAAAGATCTGCAAAACTCACTTGGTATTACTTGAATCTGAGAGAAACCATATGTTCCTTATACCTTCGAAATCTGCATTGCTGGTCGATTCCTCACTCTGAACAGGCTTAGTACTGTATATTTGTGTAAACTCTACCACTTCGTGATACACATTCATGATATTGAGAATGCCCATAAAGATTTCCGTCTCGCAAGGATGGAAAAAGTGCTCAACAGCTGTGGTGTCCTGCAAGAAACCAAAGTTTGGTGTGGGTTAAGATGAATTTCCTACGTTATGAGCTTACCAAAAACTGCTTAACACCTTGCCCTTCCCGGCTGCTGCTCAAACAAGCCAGCAACAAGTCGTGAATCATTTTGGTAAAAACTTATTTACCGAAGTGCTTCTTGAATTGTTTTTCGCATTTGCGCCAGATGTCCAACAGCGATGGCACTTTGGGGAATTGTTGGATCTGAAGTTATCGGTTTATCGATAGACATCAGAGGCGCTCTTTTCACTTTCCGAATTTAAAAATTCCATATCTTTCTTTATTTATTATTTATTTCAAATAATAATTTAATATAATATATATAACTGACAAAAATATTCTTCTTTTGGGACAGTTTCTTTGTGCAGCTGAAATTTCTTCAGAGTTTTTGTCCCGATTGGTTGCAAAATTTCGTAATCCTCTTTTGTTTTTGCTTCCTTTATACGTTTCCACATTTTGGCCATCCTTAAAAAATATCAATTTAGGCACATGTGTCACTGCAAAATCCTTGCATATTTTCATTCCTGCCCTACAGTCGTACTCCGCTATACACACATTTGTGTCATTTATCAAGTCTGAGGCCAGCTCAAGCCATATGGGACGGAAGACAGTACAGTAGATGCAACTTGATGAATAAAAATTGACAAAGAAATTGCCATGGGCTATACGGGAGTGGAAATTGTTCCATTCCAGTTTTAGAACTTTCCCAAATTCGCATTTTTCCGCGTTTTCACTTTCATTTTTGATTTGATTATTAGAAAAAGCAAAATTAGTTTCGGAATCTCTTATATTTATATTTCTTTCTAGCTGAGCTAGTTTTATATTTACAACTGAATTGTTTTGCAACTGTTGATTTTGTGCAAATACTAGAGACAAAGCTAATACTAAGCTAAGTAATCCTATCATATTTCAGATAATTTATTAAAGTCAATTCTATAGTGTCAAAAAAGTCAATGATAGAAAGAGATGTGGAAAAGTGGAAAAAACTTTTATTGATTTACAACTCTTCGTAATTAATTTTCGTTTTACAAGCCCAGTCAGGAAGCTCTGTCTTGTACTCCCAGTTGAGGCCCTGTGAATAGGTTGTGACCATTATTAAAAAAAATGTTTTAAATAAAAAATATACCTTGTAAAATTACCTTGTATTTCCAAGCATGCAAGTACATTATCAGATCTTTTTCTTCGGGTTCCCTATAATTAAGTTTGCACTCGTGACAATGCGGATCTGTGGTGCACTTTTTAAGATCATAAGATCTGTCTGGTTCCTCATGGCAAGTTTGTGTAGTAGCCTATCAAGGACCAGTATTAGTATTATTTATAAACGATAAGAAGTAAAACTTACATCAGCATTTGGCTCCTTTACTGAAACCGCCATCACAGGCTCAGCCTTAATTTCTCTTTGTACTTTATCGTCTGCGGAACTCTTTATTTCCTCCTTGATTTCTCCCTCAACGCCTAACCAGTTTTCAGCATTATGTATGCTAATTAAATTATTAATCAGCTGCTCGTCACTTATTCCACCAATATCGCCTCCCTTACCCTTCAAGGGACCAAATACTTCATGGTTGTACAAGGGATCATTGGAAATGGGATAACCTGTCGAGTAAATATATTACTAGAAACTAGGAATAATTTTAGTAAGGGCTTTACTTACCCAAATATTGTAAATGCACTCGGATTTGATGCATTCGTCCTGTGAGTGGTTTGCAGTGAACAATGCTGCAGTCGCCATCCTCGCCAATTCGTTGAAAAGTGGTCTTACAGTCCTTTCCCTTGGGCGAGACCCTACAAACACCAATTTTGTAGCTAACCACGTCAATCGGTTCACTGCACTCAACAATGCCGCTAAAGAGATTTTGTAAAGAAGAACTTTTTTATATTATTTTTATAAAGAAACTTATACCACTTACTCGGGAAAACGTCCTTCTACTCTACACACGTATTCCTTCTTCACTTGTCTCGTTCGAATTTGCTGCTCTAATTCCCGGGCCTTATCGGCGGTGCGTCCAAATAAAAGCAAACCAGAGGTGAGTCTATCCAATCGATGTATGGTTCTCAGGTTTTTCAGATTGTACTCCTTGGCCAGTATAAAAACCACAGTGTTGTGTCTATAGCGACCGCAGGGATGAACCTTAAAGAAACCATTATTTATTAGGTATATAAATAAATATAAATAAATAAATAAATAAAGTATTTCCTACATTTTATTAATTATTTATATTTTCTTTAAAAATACAACTACTTACTGGTATCGACGCCGGCTTATTTACTACCACAATATCCTTATCCATATACACTATCTTAATGGGCTGTGAAGTAACAGGGACTTCGTGTCTATAAAATGTCCGGCAAACGTGTGCATATTTCAATTAAATCTCTCTCTACAAACACTTACCTGTGAACGACATTGGCCAGCAGATCGTTATGTTTGATTTTATAGTCCTTGGGAACCTTCTCGTTATTAACCGTCAACTTCCCAGCCTCCAAGCTGCGTTCGTATTCTTCTGGCGGTGCTGCCCGGAACTCACGAACAAAGACATCGAGTATCTTCTCGTCAACCCAGCGTCCTTTGGCGAATGTTGTAAAGGTGAAGAAATAGGGATAAACCTTTCTAAGGCCTGATCAATAAGGGAAATAAGTTTAAATAGCTAATAGTTTGGGTTTTTAGCTTTGTTAGTTTACCATTTTCAAAATAATACGATGTCTCGTCGTATCTTTCGTCACTAAAACCGGGTCGCTTGGTTTTGCGGTCCTTGTCGTCGTCGAACTTAGCCTTTTTCGCTTTACCTTCATCCTCCGTGGATTCAGCTTTTCGTTTCTCCGTTGCAGATGATTCTTCAGTTAGTTCTTTTGTTAATGAAACCTGAAGAAGTTAATTAATATTTCATTGAGCATTAAAGATATCGTTTTATTGAAAACCCAATAGCCATCTTATACCCAAAAATCCCATCAGCTTATCAGACATATTTAGAAGCTGCCTTGTTTCTGGTGTTTTTGTTAGCCAACAATTTTATCTTTTGGCTGCCTAAGCATAATTTTCACACAGTCTCTGTGTATTTTTCCTTAAAAAGAGCAACAGAACAGGATAAAATTTGCATCGAACCAGCAGTATTCTTGTTGGCAAATTGTCTACCAGAAAACAGGGGCCAGCCAGAACGTAAATATAAACACAACTACCGAAAAGAAAACAGGTAACAGGTAATGTCCATGTGTGGTTTGAGTTTAAATAGAAGTCTTTAGATTTAATATTGATTAAAGAAAGGTCATGCTTTATAATCTGGAGGAAAGTTTTACAAATTCGACATCCTTTGGCCAAGAGACTGCCCACAGGTTTTATCATTAAAACTCTTTGGGCCTTCTTAGAGGGATTTCCTTCATTTCCTTACTGCATCCATTATCCTTTATTCTCTACCAAGTTTCTTTCTTCCTTATTTTTTAATGTGTGTATTTACATGGTATTGTAAGAATTATAAAAACGACGGGGCCCAAAAGGCGCATCGTGGAAACAATGAGGACCACACTTAGATACCACTCGAAAGCAGGAGGCACTGACACTAATAATTGCGGAAACATCACGACCAGCTAGGTAGCAGCCAACCAACTTGACAAAAGTGTAGCTCGTTAGGAAACCACTGCGAGACTACACTAGAGACCCAACCCAAACCAACCTAAGCCCCGCCGCAGAGGCCTCCGAAAAGGCCGCCGTGTCGTCGAGAGAGAACTAATTATGACAAATCCGCGGTGAAATATAAGTACGGGAAAGGTAAGTCTGTCGTCCAGTTGGTCCCCAAACATAACTTAACTTCTTGCGTGGACAAACACAACACAACGCAACAAACACCCTCCAAGTCCGGTATTTATTATGCAAATCCAAACAGCGCAGACCCTCGTGTTACGATTTATTGATCAAATACATGGTTTAATTAACACGAAAAAGAATTCTAAATGTGCCCGAGTCATCAGGCATAAACTGCAGCTGAGTAATAGCTGGAGGAACGGAAGGGACGAGATGCCTGCCTTAAAGCCATTTGCCACTGTCACGTACGGTGGTGAGCTGGTGAGGTGGTTTGCCAACAAACAAAGAGCCCGAAACTTGTATGCCTTTGGTTTTTGTGGGCCATTAAGGGTTTTGTCTAAAATCTGGTTTTTGTTGCACATCTTCTTCTAAGCAGAGTCCTAAATTTTTAAGAATATACTGACGCCTAAGGGTGGCTTTAAATTTCTATGCAGGCAACGGACGAGAACGTTGACTCTGCAGGCAGACTGCAGCTACAGCAGTCTCCTTTATTGGGGCATTTTTGTGCCTCAAAGTCTCGTAAAAGAAGTTTAAGTCTTCAGGTGTGATTTGTTCCACCTTTCTTTACATGTTTATATCCATTTTTATGACTCTCAAAACTTTGAACTAAGAAAATAAAAGTGAAAATACACGTAGTTCGATGGGACTATGTAAGAAACGGTTGCAGAAAAAAACATTATGGTTGATACCCTTTAATTTTTTTTTTATACAACAATTCTGTACTTAACTCTTTTTGAAAAATATAATAATTTATAATAAAATATAACTGACATTCCCCTACATTTTATGCATTATTTAAACCCTAGAACTCACCACTTTAGTTCGCTTCAAACAACAAACAAACTTGTGGGGCGAACATGTTTGTCAAACATCTTTTGGCCTTTCAAAAAAGCTAAGACGTTTATAAACAAAGTACCTTGCGTATTTTTTTTTTTATAAAAACTCAAGAACAATACATTATTTAATGCATTTTCTTTTAATTTTAAATAACAGAGGGCTTAAAAAATAACCACAAAGATGTTAAAGGTATGTTACAAATTTTAGCTCAGCAAAAAAAGAAAGGCATATTTTTAAAGGACGTTTTAATGGATTTCAAAATATTAGCACTTTTGTTGCCATCCTCAAAACTAATTAATAATTAATATAGAAAAGCTAATGTAGCAAAGGACCTCAGTTTAAACTTGATCAAATATCCCACACAGTAAAAACAATACCCTCAAATTGATTAATAATTCGCTCTTAATTATTTGCAGCAAATTGCATTTGCGTGTGTCCCTGATTAGCTTTTTAATTAAGTTTTAAGTGTGCGATTGGAGGAGAGCTGCTGCATTGAAATTTCCCCCGACACCAATAATACTGCATAAGTGAGGACACGGAAACCACAACACATTGGCGAACATTGGAACGGAACGGACCCCGACTAAATTGTTTTGGGTATTCGATATTCCCCCAAGATAAATATGCCCTTTTACTGGCTGCGAATCGGTCAAAGCTCTAGCTGCTCACACCCCCTTGAATTCCTTCCGCGACAAAATGTGTAAACAATTGTAAATTAATAATGCAATTTCTGTAAAATAGGAATAATATGAAACAGGACCATTTTGTTTAATGGTGTTTCCAATTTTGTTTAGATTTGTTTAATGCTTATATGCTTGTCATTATAGAGAATGTATCTTAACTGGTTTTTATTTTAAGATATAATTTCAAATGTACAGCAACAAAATCTCACATCGCTAGTGATAAATACTTCTGGAGCTCCATAAATTTCTGCCTTGCTCCTAATTCAAAATGCTGTGCCCCAAGGATATTTTTAAATAATCAGACCTACCGTAGGACTAGGATCTTCCTTTTCTGCAGTCTCAACATCTGTGACACTGTGAAACCATACACATTCCGGCGCAGGGGAAGCAGACGCATCTTGACCACCAATATTATTTACTTCCAGCACCGGTTCCAGGGATAACATGAATCTGTGCAGGAATATGTTCTCCACGTCCACAGATGAGCCCTCGCCATGTTGCGTCTGGGCATTTCGTACACTTTTGGGGCTTTGCATTTTAGGAAACCAGGAAAGTTCGCTACAAATTCTTTGTTTTGCTTTCAGATGCTGCCGGAAAATAATGTTAAAATAAAAACAACAAGTAAATCAACACGTGCCCTGTGCCACTTGGCGGTTCACTCGTCACAACAAAGGGTTTTATGAATTAATAGAGTTTGCAAAAAGTGTTTAAAACAGCCGAAAGAGTGGGAGAGTGTATTAACTTTTAACATTAACACTTGCCAATTGTAAAATGCTCTTAAATTGTCGTAAAAACCGCATTAATAATTGTTCTTTTTTCTTAAGTTTTGTTTACATTCACACAGCGCTGTTGTAATGGCGACTTTCTAGCTAGTTTTGGCTACTTTTGGCTGGAAATAGCCGGCAACTAAAGCGTTAATGGCCAGAAGTGTCAGGTCTAGGAGGCAAAGAGCAGCTGACTACTATCGATATATCGATAACTAGTACTCCTTGATGTGAACTCACGCATAAAGGGTACTCATTAATGTTCGTTAATTATATGCGAGTTTTGAATTTATTTATTGTAATTCCTAATTCCTAAATATCATACAAATGTTTATAAAAATTAGTAGATGAAAACATTGTTTTGAAGACTTTGGAAGACTTTCCCAAATGGATATTTTAGTATAAACATTTTTTCTGCTTAATTAAATAAAAAACAGGACTTTATAGAAGTTAAATAATGCTCTTTACTATTTTTAAATTACTTCTCAAATTATTATTATTTAAAGTATTTAAGTTTTCTTCTCATAAAAATCGGAAGTAAAAAATTCCCCATACCAAAAGCTTATGACGTACCGGAAACGCACCCATTTCCTTTCGCAGTTCATCCAATTACGTTGCCTACTTTTAAGCAACGAGTTACCGAAGCCTGGAAAATCTAAAAACTTTAATAATACTCTGTTTTATCTATAATTAAGATCGACAAGTGAGCGAATCCTGCTAAGTAGTTATAGCCGTAAAAAGTTGATTTATAAGTTTACAACGATATCCCCCAATAATATATGTCCTCAGCTACTTTTATCCGGCATTTTTTCGGCCGTCGTAGGGCTTAATTACATTAACGTGTTCGCTCCTACATATAACCGAAAGGTACATATGTGCGAACCTGCATGCGGAGGTGTAATATGAGGCCCGACACAACACACCTTTCTATATATATTCGCCGTACATATATAAGATCTCCGGGTTGTTTATAAACACGCGGTTGATGGGCATGTTTTAGAGGTAAAGCTTTTTTCTATGAAACCAAAAACAAAACAAAAAAACGCGATGTCGTCATTTTTAGTTTTGTCCAGGCGAAAAGTCAATTTAGAACAGTAGCTTAATGTGTGCAGGTGTGTGGGTGACACACATACCAGTGCCTGTCCGAGGAGAGAATTAAATGGGTGAGCTCGTGGTCTCGCGCACACCTACAAAATATCGTGCTGATTTAATCACTTTCTTCGTTTTCACAAACGAACGAACGTCAACTTCAGCTCCCATACAACACACGCACACCAAACCACACCACACAGAGCACCACCAGCACCATCCCCTGTTTACTCAGGATGAGCCTCATAGCCAGTGGCCATTAAATGTTGCCTCAAATGACGGGCAAGCCGGGCGGGCAAGCCTTTTCTTTGTTGTTCGCTTTCGTGACCAACCGCGTTTCAAGGAGACCGACGACCGACGACCAAGCACCGAGCTTTATACCGCGTATGGATGTGGAAAGTGAGTTACGGGAAAGAAAGTCACGCAGTCGAACACGCAATTCTACACAAGAGTCAGAGTCCCAGCCCCAAAAATTTTTATCAGCATAATGCTTTCAGTTTTGGCAGTAAAAGCAAATAGCTGTGTGGCCTCAGCTAATTGCTAAAATTTCGAAAAATTTAATGTCACTATCATGGGCCCGTTTTGCACGTCTCTTTTAGCTAAGTAGCTTTTGGAGGTGAGGATCGGTGTTTGGATAATAATACATATAATATCCTTGAAAGATAATGAGTTGGTAGAAATTGCTAAGGACTTTTAAAAGTCAGTAAAAATATGTCAAATAGTACGCTATAATATGTTAATAAAAGGTAAATACGTACTTTTGGCCACATTTTTATAAGGATAGTAAACCTATAACGTTTTGCTTCGCACCTCTGCCTACATATTTCCAAAAGGTAATTTTAATTTTCTGACCTAAATCTCATTTATTTTTTAATTCTTAAATGTTTTGTTTTACTTTAAAAATCTGCAAGCTTGTCAACAGCTACGTATACGTATACTTAATATATTTTTAAATGTGTCAATCAAAAAAGGAGATTTCATTGTTTTCGAAATGTGAAAGCAAATAAACCGCACACATATATTTCTTTTGTGAGGTGCTGTTCGAGAAAGCCTTGGAAGTTGATTTCAAATATTAAAATGCTTCAAGCGGTCAGTGTCTTAGAAAACTATGGCCAAGTTTATTTGAGCCAAAAGTGGGTGCGTGTTGGCCGGGACACTTGCCATTTGGTGGTAAGTGAGAGAAAGTGTGTCAAATGGTCCCTGTGGCTGTGCATGCATATCAGGAAATTAATACAACCAATCAACGGAGACTATATAGTATTATTTTACTAAAGAAATCGTATTTCTGTGGGAGAATAAAATCATTAAAACATAAAAGCACTTTATTTTACCATTAATATTTGTATTTTTAAATGAGACATCGAACCTGGTTCGAAGCGAGCCTGTTGCAAGCGTTTGGTGAATTTTGAAATGTTGTAACGATTTCTTGTGTTTTTTTTCGAACTTAAAGAATAATAAATAAAGACTATCAAGTGTATTATTGAGGCGTTTAATTGCCCACAAATCAATCTTCGCTGACATCAATAGGAACAGGTAATAAATGAATAGATTTTTTAGGGTTTTAAAATATACATGTGTGTTTTGCTTGCATTTAATGGATTTCAACAGAAAATATAAGTGTTTTTAAAACATTGCATTCAAAGCTAAGCTGCAGTTATAGTTCAGTCTCAGTTCTCCTTTAATTCCATGTCGATTCAAACGCATTTCCACCACCTCTGTTCACCACATCCGACATATAGTCCCCACAGAGCAGCAGGCAGGCAGCAAGTAAAGTTTGAATCGGTTTGACGCGTTTTCATTCGGTGTCTTGGTTTCGGCTCGAGTAGATGCTGCCGCGTGAATGCCCTCGTCGGACAGGTATTGAAGCGTGGACCCCAAAGATTTCGAAAACAAAAATATACATATTTCCAAAACATAAACATAAAGTGAACTGAACAAAGAACTAAACAATAATGACATTAAAAAGTTATAAAGTGTTGAAGTGACGGTTATATCTAAAAATGGAAAAACCTAAAACATTGTGATATATATCCCGGACTACACGCACAATAAAATCAAAATGGAAAATGTTCTTAAGACTTTTTTTCGTATCTGCTATATAGCTAAAATAACACATGAGTTTTCTAATTTGTGTTTCGAACGATGATCAAAGGAACCCCAAGTTTTATTGTATATTCACATAATTGAAAGGCTAATTTGCCATAAGCAGACCATTCGATAAAATGACACTTCTATTATGATATTTTTCATCAGGGAAAACTAGAATAAACACATAGTTTGCCACATAAACATCATAATATTCCCCTGTCGGTCCATTAATAATATTTTGTTCTGGTGCATGAAATTAGTTGGGCCATTCCCGCTCGCATTATTATTAACTAAAACCGCTCCAAATTGGATTTACTTTTTGGCCCCATCTGCTGATCATCATAATACAAACGTTTCGTGTATATATTTTTTGTTCTTCTTTTAAATATAGAAGGTAGCTCTCACTAAATGTTGTTCTTGCTTTAAGCCCATGTGATCTATTGTCATCCTGCTGAGATATCTGGGGTCTCTTTACACATGGGGCGCATATACATATACATTTAGTAGTATGTACATATAGATGCTTGATTTTATTTAAAAGAATTCTTTCCTAGCCATTGTCTACATAATATAGTTATGCAAGAAGAAATTTTTGTTTCAAAAATGTACTAAAACCACTCGAAAGACTACACAATTGTTGTTGATAAAATGGAACTAAGACAGCGCAGAAGAAGACAGATGACAAAAACGAGCGAGGTGGAGGTGTCTATATATTCGGACATTCCTAAGTACATATATTAAGGAATATTCGGAGATTTCGGACACGAGCTAGTAATATACAAGACTTATTTTAGCACCAGCTCCTCGGGGGTAAATAGAGATGTTTACGTTTACACGTGTGCACACGTCAATTGTGCCAATATAGGGTGCCTGTGTACCTGATTTAATAGTTTAACGAAAACTATACGGCCTCCCGGTCGTATACGTATTGTTTCGTTACACATACGCCTCATTGGACGGAGGAATATAGGTTTATACGCTCGATTTTGTCTCCTTGCAATCAGAGCCAGAAACAGCAGATGTTGGCCTAGTCTCTTTAATCTTTTTCTTTGATATTTGAAATTTGTTTCTGTTTCTGCTTTGATTAAATTTCCAAACCAATAAAACTACCATTATTTTCTAAAATATTGAAGAGCCTCCGATGATCACCTTATAGACAATGCTAATAAATATATGTTATTCTCACTTTTGAGTGTGTAGGTTGCTATCGGGCATTTGTTAACAGCAATCTGCTAATAGAAACCAAAAATTAACGCATTAAACTTGTATATAAATATATTTTTGTGTATATTCACATAGGTGTTCATAAACACACTAAAAAAATACATAAACATTTTATTTGGCTTTTCAATTTACATAAGGCAACCTTAAAATCGGTTTAAGATTTCAAATAAAACTGTAGTCCATTGCTGCGATTATTTATAAGCAAACGCGGATAACTACACACGGATCTGTAATTGACTTTAAAAGCATTATAAACCCGACAATTTACGGCGCAACGAATGTAAATAAACGATGGAATAGCTCGGTTAATATCTCTATATGTGTGTTGTGTGTGTAATCCGCGTAGTTATCATTACCCAACAGATGTTAATGTGATTTTTTCGGAATAATAACCAATCCCAAACCTCCAGTTCGGCCTTCGCGAAAGTGATATATACTCGAAAACAGAGAGAAACAAAGTGAGATAAAATGCAGAATTCGCCGGCAGCCTGCGCCTGGTATCTGCCCTGGTCCTTGGCCGCGCAGCAGCAGCACCAGCAGAAGATGCTCCAGATGCAGTCACCGTTCCTGGATAAGCTGGGTGCCGGTGCCGGGAGCATCTTTGCCGCCCAGCCCCAGATGCATCAGCAGCTGCACCAGCAACAGCAGCAGCAACAGCAGCTATCGCCGAACACGGCCGCCGCTCCGCCGGCCAA